CAAGTTACGATCGGTTTAGTGGATTTTCTGTCTAAAATTTTCCCTGTAGATATACCTAATAAATCCTATCTATAGACAAAATCTTGGATCAAAAGTCGACACCGAAGGCTCATAAGGACGAACATCAATAGGTGTTTTTTTTTCTTGCAAGGTTTAACTTTCTGGATAAATTAATGATTCTATAAAGATGCGCTTATGATTTCGATCATGATTTTTTTATTTAGTACACAAAAGATTTCAAGCATTTATTCAAATTCATTTTTATATGTAAGAATCATATCAAAAATTTTTCTGAAATAATTATTATTTTTGTCAGAGATCGTCATATGGTTGCAATAGTCGATTCTTGCGACCTTATAATTGTCTCTAGTACAAATGTTTAGCCTTATAGATTTTTTTCTTCTTTGATTATATTATATATTATTGAGTAATATTAATACCTTTTGCATTTGAATCAAGTTGTGCTGTATATGTTGGTCGAACGGACTAAAATAAATTTTCATATAATATCATATATAAAACAGTCATTTATTCTTACTGTTTGACGAATAGCACCATTAGTATGAAGTCGAGTAAAACTATCTGGATTGCGACAAGGTAAATCTTTTAGAAACGACGACTTAAAATTAAAGAAAAAAATTATATAAATTATCAAAAATCTAAGAAAAATAAAAAATACCATATTGCAACATTTACCGATCTTCAATGAAATATAATTGATGACTTGATTTGATTGTGATTTTTCAGTTATTATATATCTCGTTATATTTGTTAAATTTATTATAAAAATGTTGATAGGACGCATTTTTTTGTTCAATAGGAGAGTATGCGACAGTGATGTCGCACGTTGACATCATCACTCTTCTATATCATCTTCGATCTTCTCTTTCATCTTTTTATTTTTTCATCTGTATTCCTTACACATAATAAAGATCGTGCATAGCTATGAATTGACCTTATCATAATTTAATAGTTGTATACATTTATACTGCAGCCTCAACTCGTTTAAGGGGTATATTTGATTATTTTTAAATATTTTTTTCAGTAAATTTATTGTTCACATATAACTAATTTGGTACTCGTTTGTCTTGATTTGTGATGCTCAACATACATATCGTTTTCCTTTTATGATCAACTTCGGTTATTTTTCATTTAAATTTTTTCTCTTTTCATGAAAAGTCACCTATGACTGTTTTCATCATTGAATAAGAAAATAATATCTCTTATGGGAAATGATGTAATCACATGTTATCATCTACTGCCATTAAATATCGATCATGATTACATTCATCACGAATCTTATTTCAGAAAGCAATGAATAAATTAAAAGTTCAATAGTGAAAACTCACACACAGACAGCTGATCTTGAACGCTATGGTAGAAAACCAAAAAAAAAAACTAACTTTTTTCTAATTGATTGTATGAAATAATTGTATTTTATGAGCGAGTTCTTTTATTCTGTCAAAGAAGTTCCTACCAAAAAGTGTCAAGTAATCGTATTTTGTGTGATTTCATACATGTTATAATCCAGATACTCGTTGTGTGAAATGTTCTTTAGTGATAGCATATAGACTAAACTACTCGCGTAGAAAAATGAGATAAACGTTTAGTAAAAACATAATCAGCACAAAAGCATTTATAAAAATGTTTTCATTCAGGCTGGTTACTTAATAGTAATTGTTTAATGACGCCAAGATTAATATGAATGTTTTTAAACGTTTTGACTTGCTGTAAATTTTAAAAATTTCCTAAATACGCATTTTTATTTTCTTCGACAATGAATGGAATCATTTAATTTAAAAAAAAAGTAAAAATCTATTCATACGCTTAGAGAAAGAATCAATATATTGATCAATTTATTCCAAAAACCTATTCTATCTATTTGCACAGTGTTTGAAATTTATATTGTGTTGAATCAATTGTTACAGTCATTAAATCTATCAATGATTCATTCTCAGTATCATATTATCGATGATCTTTTTAGTAATGAAATTAAATGATCAACTTATTTTATTATAGCCAATTGATGCTTCAGACTATCAGTCTATACAAATAATGGTTCTAAAATAGCATGATCTCGTCCATTTACTGATATAGTTACACGAAGTAGAATATAATTAGCAATCGTAACAAGTTCAACAATACTATATGAAGCATATTTTAGATCATATAGAACATTTTGTTAACAATCTAATTTTTCCATTAGATATTTTTTAACTTAAAGTCTTATTCGAAACCGCTTAATGATCATACTTGACGAACTATGAATGCCACTTGAGTATGAATAAAACTATGTACCGAGACTATCATGGATAAAATGATTACATAAGTTCATGTTTGAGTCCTGAGTGACGTATTCAAAGAGGAAACAGTAACCTTTGTGAACACTGATTTTTTTTTCTTGTTTTTCTTTTTCACACCAAGAAAACACTAGACCGATGAAAATACTATATGCAACTATCTTAGATAGAAAAAGAACTAAAAACGGAACTAAGTTGCAACAAGATAGGTAAACGCAGTGAGAGATGATGACAATTAATTGATTGAACTTCAATCGACTTTTACAACATCCAATGCGGGTAGTAAAGAATAAAAAGAACTTCGAGAGATTGTTTAATATTCCTAATTCAATTATAATATAGCGAAGCATAATTATATTTAAAGCCACTAGCAAACAGAGATTAATAAGGGATCAGTTTTGCGGTGTTGGAGTTTTCCCTTCACTTTCAGCGTTTTTTATGATTTTGAGGGTTGAAATAAGAGTCTCCTATTTTTTATTTTTACATTGATCCTCTGTACTCCTCTTTTTTCACGGACCCTCAGTGGGAGGACAGGTTATGTTATTTTTTAAAGTATTTCATTTAAATTTATTCTTTATTATAAGAGAGAAATAAAGATGAATACTCGCTCCTAATAATTATATTCATTGCGATAGATATCTGAAGTTTATAACATTGTTTTTCAAATTATTCAGATCGATGAGTAAATTAAGTAATTCTAATTTTTTTAATGCTATTTGAGCAGCAAATTCTTCAACTATTTGATTAACAATTACTTCAAGATCATCAAGTTATGCCCTATCTTTAATTTTGTTTAAAATATGCACATTATATTTTTTCATGTGCACTTTGACAACGTTTTTTTTTTTTTTTGTTTATTGTGTGTTTCGAAGGCTAACTGTAGATTTCCGATAAAAGCATGTAACATGTATGCAAATAGGTGCCTTGTTATTTGATCACTATTGTTTTTTTCTATAAATATGTATAAGTAGTTTAGAAAAAAATGGAGCATCGACTTACTTCCATCCAGCAAATTTCTGAAACAAAGTTTGTACCCTATCTAGTAGATTGCCATTTTGATTTCGTAGTTTAATAATATCATCTTCTAGATTGCGGGTTTGATCTTTTATAATCACCAATTCATCTTCGACTTTATTTAATCTGCGCTAACAAATGAAAAAATCTTGTGATCAATTTCTGGCTGAAGAAAAACACTTACTACTAATTCATCGATTAACATCTCTATTTTATTTACTATTTCTTCTAGATTTTTTTTTCTTCAAAATCTAATTTTGAACTTTTAATAACATTACGAATTTGTTTAATTACTTGAGTAGTTTCAGTATTATTAACTTCAACAATAGTTTCATTATCTTCAATAATTGTGCTACCAAAATGTTTGCAAAACATTAATACATTTTAACGAAGCTTCTGGTATATTTTCTAATATTGAAGATACTTGATTAAATGAATCACGTAATTCAGATCCTGAAATAGATAGAAGAAGAAAAAAATCATTAAAAGTTTATTGAAAAGTATATATAAAAAATAAGAAAAATAATAAGAGCAATATAAATATCATTTTGTTGGTGACTCTTAACTCATTTGGATCAGACTTGGTATCATCAATTTTAGCTTCTTTTGATGTTCTTTTACTTTTCTTTTTTTCTTTGATTTTATTTCACTTATATCATCGGATGAATCTAATCAGTATTTTTCTAGAATAACGAAGAAATTTTTTTTACAACTATTCACAATAAATATCATAAATTTACTTTTTTGAAAAGGAAATTTGTTAAAATAATCACCAATATAATTAAATAAGTAAGTAATGTTGTAAATCATTGAATTTAATTTCCGTCGGATATTCATTTGTTGAGTCAATTAAATATAAACTTGATCGATGTTTAAAAACTAATCGAAATAACAAACAAATCAGAAGTAGAAGATTAACATCAATAAACAAATATTTTATCATATACTGCAATGATATTGATGGCACCATCAGTGAAATAAATATTTCTGTCAAACTTTAGAAATTGATGAAAATTAAAAGAGAAGAAACACATATCTGAAAATCACTAATGTGAACAGTTGATTTTTTTATTTGTGTTAAGTTTACTTAAAAAATAATCTAGAAAATTAGAAAAATAAAATCAATTAAAAATATCACTTTTTTATCATTTTCTAAATGTACGACTACGTGTTTTTAACATTTAAATTTGATGTACAGATTTAAAATATCAGAAAACTACTGCAAACCAATAAGATATTGTTGACAGCCAGAGTTTCGAATAATTTGATTTTTTTAATTTAAAATTAATACAAAATCAAAATAAGATAGTTGACGTATCTAATTATAACTCTCCTAATCAATCTATCTATGGATGCAAAGATAGGACATAAAAAAAGACAAATTATTCATTTTTTCTTAAAGCAGTTTACATTTTACTATTCATCGATATCAATATAAACGAGAAGATAAATAAAAACATATATGACCATCTGCTTTTTTTTTTCCTAATAATTAACCATTTTTCAAAGGTCTATCATTAACCAATCGAGTCATATGATAAGTTAGATGTCGGTGATAATCAACTTATGACTGCTTAGGTCAATCAGTGCAGAAATTAAAATAGAATCATTTCATATTATTATTTTACGCTTTAGATGAATCCACCTCAACGTCATGCAAACGTACGTATACTTGTGTCCAACAATATGCAAGATCGGAGTTATCCACGTGGAGCTCTTGTTATGGTAGCTGGAGCTGGTGGAGGTGATTTTCTTAATTTAACTATAACGGATGGTTAATAAATAACTGCAATGTTAGAATTTTCAAAATTTCTCCTGTAGTTTTTGCTTGATTTAAATATCTTTTTCTTATGAAAAGATAGCACTTAAAATTCTTTACAGAACCATTCGTCGTATCAAGATCGTTCAAAAAGTTCTGAGACTGGTTTGAAGTAAAAACAGCAAGAAACACTGCTGCATTAGTATTGTTGTGTGTGTATAGTTCATACAGTCCTCAATCTATAGACGCCATGAACTGTGATCTATTAAGCATTTATATCTAGATATAGAAATACATTTTAGAACATTTCATTTTTTACAGACAGATAAGTAAACATTCATATATAAACGATGTATAGGTTTTCAGATGCTATTAGTGTAACATTTATTTTGAACAACTCATTTTAATCATATGTAAATGATTATTTACTATATATTTGAAATGCTCAAAAATGTTCATTATTGGTTGAATTGCGATTTAAGGCTTTTTAGTGACTAAACTTCTAACTGTTTTAATATTTGCGTCGTTTACATCAAGGATCATCGTCAATACTTAACTGTTCATCTTTAAAATTGTAGTTTCGTCCACAAACTGTAATGTGTGATGAAGTGTCGATCACCATAAACTTCTATCATACATTCATGAATATTCAATGGAGATTGATCTTCTATTGATAGAAACTGTATTATTGAGGGATGCTCAAGTTTCAAAAATTTATTATCCTGGTATATGGAGTGATCTAAAACGTATTGCTATATCTCCCATGTCGCCACTTTTTTAACAACTGCGTCGCAGTTACGCGCAACTGCGAAATTTTGATCGTAACTGCGCGTAACTGCGGCACATTGATCGCAGTAAAAAATCCATGTGTTCGACTGCGATCGACTGCGACACAGTTACGCGTAGATGCGAAAAAAAATATCGTAGTTGCGCGCAGTTACGGTAAAAAATTCGCAGTTACGCGTAGCTACGTCGCAATTTTCTGCAATTGCGGATCACAGTGCGATCGCAGTTACGCGTAACTGCGTCGCAGTTTGATCGCAGTCGAACATATGGGCTGGGCATAAATACTTCATAGATCAGAGCTCATAACGTATATACATCGAGGGGTGTATACATACAGACAACAATACTAATACAGTAGCGTTTCTTTTTGTTTTTAAATTAAATCAGTCTCGGAACTTTTTGAGCTACCTTCAAACAATCCAAAAACTATTACAGATATATTTGAAAAAAATAGATCCGTAAAAATTTATCATGAAGAGCACCCTCCTGATCATCGATGCGTAGTTTCAACAAAAGTGAATGTCTCAAAAGTCAAATGACGCCTAGTTTTCAAGAAACGGGTGTCAACAAGAAAACTACTTATTGAAACAAAATGCGTACTGCTACTACCACATGAAAATCTTATCTATTTCCTAAAATAAATATCACAGAGTCAACTGCGAGTGATCTGCACAAAAAACAGTATGGTCATTTTGTAAACCAAATGTTAACAGAATGTTTTTAGGGTTCGCATAAGTTGTCTCAGTGAAAAATAATGTACTTACCATTTTCGTGCATTCATATCAAAGAACGATTAGTCACAGAATTTTCGTGACTTAAATTCTTTAGATTATAGTTTATGAAATGAACTAGATGAAAGTATGAATTGTGACCACATAACAACAAAAGCAACATTGGTTGATGAAATAAAACGTTTTCTAAAAAAATGGAGATACCACTTTGCACAGAATTTCAAGCGCTTTCTTTTGATAAAAAAGTGTTTTCCAATCAAGCGAACAATAAAAGAGAAATTTCGAAAATACTAAGCCTGCAATTATTTATGGACAATCCGTAATAAAAAATAATTTGAATTTATCTTTTAGGTTATATTGGACCTGGTGTAAAATACAATTTTATTTTGAACAAAAATTAGATTCTATAATCTTTTTTTTTTATAGGCTATATATCCTGACTTAGCAAGAGAGATTATAGCTTATCCAAATCTCATATCAGTTCAAATGGATTATCGATTTCCAGGTGATCTTAATCTATGTGTAAGTATTAATTCTTATGAATAAGATAGTTTTTTAATTTTAATAATATTATAATCGACTACTACTGTCAGAAATGATGATCGCATGCTAATGAGAAAAACGGGATGACGAATTATGATTGTAAGACGATTATTTCGGCTGTCAAAAACGTCGTATTACTGCATTAATTTTCACTGTAATCCGTTCGTTCGTGTTTTTTGCAAGTCACCAATCATCTTTTCTTCTATTTTTTTTCATCGTCTTAGGAGCTTACGAAAAACGGCGACATTTTTCTTCGAGCTGGGTAACAGTTCTCAGCACATTATAATTTGTTAATTGGAATAAGATATTCTTATTATAGAATTTCCTGTAGAAGAGAAAGAGATAGTTCAAACTATCATCCAAAGTGAAATTTCAATAAATTCGTTTTTAATCTATTTTATCAGTGAGTTTAAAATTAAAAATAGAAATTCAAAGTCTGTTGCATATTAAAATCTTGATTTTTACTGATGTTGAAGTTCTTTTATAAACGATTATTATTAACTTAAGGTTCAAGATTTACTAGAAACCATTGATTTACTTGCATTAAAATATAATGTCAAACGTGTAGTACTTGTTGGTTGGTCTTTTGGTGGTGCTGTAGTGATTTCAACTGGTGCTCAACATAATCTCGTCAAAGCTATTGGTAGAAATAAACCTTTTTCTTTTTCTTTGAATGAAATTTTTATTTTTAACATTATTAATAGTTACTGTTGCATCTCAAACTGCTGGTGCCGATAGTGTTGGTCAATTAAGTCAAAAAGGTAAAACCAAAAAACGGCATTTAAAAATAATTTCGTATATTATTTTAATTTTTTTAAAATATAGGCAAAGCTTGTTTATTTATTCATGGTACAGGTGATCAATGTTTATCATCATCATGTTCACAACAACTCTATCAATTAGCTGGTCAACCAAAAGAACTTGTTCTCTATGATCAAGATAATCATGGTGTAACAAATCATCGGTATCAAGCAAAAGAAAAAATAAAACAATTTGCACTTCAATATTTATCCATGCCATGAATATAATAATTCATTTGTTTTTAAGAAGTATTTTAAATCATTTTATTTTATTCAAGCAATCTACATAGAATTTTTTTTTTTCTTATTATGATTATTTTCGTAAATCGTGATCATTTAAAGATTTATACATAAGTTTACTTGTTCGAATTATTCTATAATATATATTCATCTTAATTTTTTGTTTTAAATTCATATTATAAACTCGAATAAATTTTTCGCATTGAATATTTAAGATTTCGAATAACAATAAAATGATTATCAATTTTTCTGTCTATACTATGTTTGAAATTTATGATGACATAAAGTATTATTTGGAAATTTATTAAAAGATAATTAAAATAAATTGTCCTTAATATTAACAACAAATGGATATGATGATGTGTGAGATAGAAATAATTGAGCACACTTCTATTCTTATGATAATTTCGTGATGGTAAATCAGTTTTTCAAAAATTTATTCTGTTTTACACTTTAGTGTTGTCTATAAATGGAATGCATCTCATTTGCGACTATTGGATGAGCTTATTAAAAAAAAAAAATTCCGATTGAATTGAGAAAACTAGTTTTGAAAGATTTTTTAACTTTCTAGAGTCTTTTTTAAAAATTCTTTTTATTGAAAATTTTTTCAGCTATTAAAACTTTTTTCGGATCCCTCTTCATTATTATGTTTAGGAAAATATCTAAAAAATTTAATTTGCGTTAAATGCTGCACCTTGAATTAACACTCTAATAATGTTTTCTTTGATGATTTTTCGATCAGTTTTGAAATAGTGTTTTATCGTTGACGAGTAATGCACATCAAACGAAAAACGATGATCATAGATCTGATATACTCTTTGTATCAAAGGTATCAATCGGTCAAATCAGGTCGATTGATGTTTTTGATATTATGTGTATATTTAATGCTAGAAGTCTGCACTAATGTATCATTCTACGTAGTTTTGGTCATTCACCTAATTTATTCCCATAAAGATAATAATAAATTCTTGCACGAAATACCAGATTAAAACAAAGAGACAATATAAAAATTTTTCATACAAGAAAGACTTGAATTAACAGAATGTTTTTGATGATATCGATTCTATTTTACAAAATCAAAAAAATTCAGTGAACAAGCGATACTTATAATAACAGACAAGGATATTTACATTTAACAATCAATTTTCGCAACAGCACAAACGCATAATTTACTATCTAGTTGTTTCGAATCTAAAAAAAGTTCGTCTGTCGGTTGATGTAAGTCCTATGACACTAAATTGACTTTATACTCAAGCATTTATTGCTGTATTCGAATGAATTTGTTAAAATACTCTCAAATAGTAAGTCAATCTGTCAAAATTTAAGTTCATAAACGTAAAAGCCAGACCAACATGTCTGATTTTTATCATATCATCAATAATATTAAAACTATCGTAGAAAAAACACAAGTTAACAAACAGGTTTTCAATAAACATACTACAAAACTCGTTTATAAAAACTAAACAAAACGGTATAATTATATTTTTGTCATGATAATCAATTGTAATAGTGAATATTACATATGAAATAGTTATCGAAAATATGCTTTGTTATGATACCCTTTTTATATTTTTTCTCATGTTCTATTTTCTTTTCTTTCATATTTTACAGAAAATCATCTGTTTTATTTTCACATCTTATCCCTCTCGATATCTTACCAAATAAAAACCTATTATTCTTATTGAGTAAAAAAGAGTAAAAACAATGTTCGATCAGAGTCGTATATATTATTTTCTCATTGGATTATTTCTTGTTATTCAAACAAGTTCTAGCCATAAAATAAGTTCAATAAAAAATGTTGGCGCATTTTGTGCTAATGATACAACACGTGGTGATCCAAATTTCAATCCAATTGATGTAAGTCAACCACAATTGATAAATAAAGTTGAAAATGGTACACTTTATCAAGTTGGTTCAGGTGAAGATCAAATATGGTTAATACATGTTTATGGTAATACAGGTTATGATTTTGGTTATGCTTATGGTACATTATTACGTGATCAAATTCATAAAGTTTTACCTCGTGCTTGGGCACATTTTGAACAAGAAATAATTGATTCATTAAAAGATCTTAAATTACCTAAATGGTTTGAAGACATAATTGTTGATAAAGGTCTTGGATTTGCATTAGATTTTCAAAATGATCTTGTTAAAAAATATATGGATGAAGAAATCTATAATGAAATGCGTGGTATAGCTGATGCATCACAAGTTGATTTTAAAACAATTGTACGATTACATATGCTTGGAGAAATTACACGAGGTAAGTCTTATATAGTGTTAAAACAAACTCTTCTCTTCGATGTTGCCGTTATTTTGTATTTTTTGATGATTTTTTAAAAGGGTATCTGTGTGTTTGTTTTTCATTTCTGGTTCTCGAAGAGATTACAATGAATATCACCTAAAATAAGGAAACACATGCTCAAGGAAAAAATTTTTAAATAAGGTTTTCGTAGCTAATTCAGGAATATTTATAGAATTCTGAATGCTAGCACACCGGTTTTGGATCTGAATCTTTACGTATTTCTCTGGTCAGGAAAAAAAGAAAGATTCATGCGGATCGATTGTACTCTCTTAGAGAATCAGAAATGGTCAAAAAGACGGGAATTACTCGTAAGTCCGCTTCTCCCTTAAAAAAAAAAGTAGATTTGCGTTAGCAAAAATCGAAAATTGAAGTAAATATATAGAAAGAATAGATCAAGAGTCGATCTTTGGCGTCTCGTTTTTCGGCGAAATTCTTGATGATTTTTGTTAGCTTCTGCTTGAAAAATATACTCTTTTTCGCAAAAAGCGGCAACACTTTTTTTGCCTTTTCTCTGTTTATGCTTTTCCGGAATACTCGAAGAAGCTTCATTGTAGCCAATTATTGTTTTTTCGAATTATTGAAATAGTCATCTTTTTTCTACGCACAAAAAATAAGAATTCAGAAAAAAGGACTGTCAAGCATTATCATCTGATGTGCTTTTTTGCAAATAAAAAATAATCAACCTATCGAATGAGAGCCCATAGAAAGTTACTGGTTGCCAAAGAGACAATTTTCAACCCATGTTTGTTGGATATCTGACGAAAATATCACTATATAAGGCTTAAAATGTTTCATGCGATTTCAATATATTTGACCTAGAATCGATTTTTGAGTGGAGTGAAGTCGAATAATCATAGAGTGTACTTGTTCGAAATAAGTCGAGCTTGGATACTTCATAGTTTATCGAACATAATATTATCACACTGATCGGCTAGTCTTGAGTCAAGTAAATAGAATCTCGATGAATTTGTAAAATATTATTGTTTAGTCAAATAGAACGACATGTATTTTTACTTCATAGGTCGATGTTCTTTGTATGGTCTTTGGGGTAATGCAACATTGGGAGGAAAAACTTTGCAATTACGTGCATTAGATTGGGATGTTGATGCTGGTTTACAAGATTATCCTGTTGTTACTATCTATCATCCTCGTACATCAAAACTTGGTCATCCATTTGCTAATGTTGCTTGGGCAGGTAAGAATAATTACATTAATCTTTTTTCTTTTCTATATTAATTTATAATAATTTATTACGTATTCCTAAGGTTATATTGGAACATTAACTGGTATGTCATCATTTCATCTTGGTATATCTGAAATTGGTGTTTCATATCCTGATGATACATTTGGTGATGAAAGTATGAGTGGTTTACCATTCATCTTTGTTGAACGTTACATATTACAATATAGTGAAACACTTGATGATGCACTTTCATTCATTGCTGATGTTAAACGAACATGTCATTTAATTCTTGGTGTAGCTGATGGAAGATTAGGTACAGCTCGTATGATACAATATTCACATTCAAAAGTAAATTTTTTTGATGATCAAAATTTACAACCATTAACTGATTGGCATCCACGTATACCAAATGCTGTTTATTGTGGTATGGATTGGTTATGTCCATCACGTCAATATAAATTATATCGTGCAATAACTGATCAATATGGACAAATAACACCAGAATTATCAATTAAAAATATTACATCAATTGTTAAAACAGGTGATTTACATGTTGGTGTTTATGATTTAACAGATAATATAATGTATGTTGCAAATGCACGTGGTACAGATGAACAAGGACCTATGGAAGCTTATAAACGACAATTTGTTAAAATTGATCTTAATATTGAATTTGCTCGTCAATAATAAAGAAATAAAATTTGAAAATATAGAAGAATATAATTGATGATTAAATAAGATTCGATATTTTAAAGTAATTGAATTTTTTTTTCATATACAGATTAATAAATGAATAAGAATATACATATAATCAGTGGTGATCAATATAGAATTAAAATTGATTCGAATCATACTTACGAGAGAACTCTTCCAATTTTGTACTATTATGAAATTTTACCTGAAAATAAATTTCATGATCCTTACAATATCCTATAAGTTTCAATAAAACCGAATCCTTCAGTCTCAAGATAATAGAGTCGCAAATATGAGTTCCAACAGAGGTCATCAGTGAGAAGAATTCATTTTTTTTTTGCAAATGATCTTTACTGAAAAAACATTAAAACATATAAGATAAAAAAAGTTAGACCTATCTTCGATCCTCAGACTATGACATTCTGTGCAAGTGCAACGTTGCTTAATGGTATGATAGAAGAGAGAATATGTGTATCATGACATTCCAGGTGAATGAGATACGAACGTGGGAATCATTGATCTTCCTTGGAAAAAAAACCGTATCTTTATAAATAGTTAGTACACTGTGTGGTACTCAACGGTAGGGATGTTCCAAGCAGGAAGGAAGGAATCGACAGGTGACTTCCTTCCAATTTCGAAAAATTTTCATTTTTTTTTTGCTAGCAAAGTTCCAGTATTGTGTAATTGCTTTTGCACAGCAATTCCCAAAACCATGGTCAATCCTCCTTTCTTCCGAAATCCAGCCAACTTTGGTAAAAATCCTCCAACCGGTTCTTTGAGTTATCGATCCATCAATCTTTGCAATCTTGAAATATTCCTGCTCACATTCTTACTGATTGATATTCATATATAACATGCTTTACGAAATATTTTAATACGATTCTATTCATAGACACTATGTTAAGTTTAAAAAATATTTTATTAATTATTATATAATGCATGCTTATTCATATAGATTATTTTTATCGAATAAAATAAAGTTTAAAAGATACACATTTATATATATATATCGCTTCACACACACATAGTTCACAAATATTATTATGTAGAACTATTAGAAGAAATAAAATAAAAAAAAGAAAGAAGTCTATTTAAATTGCACCTGATTCAAAAGCAAATTTATTTTCATAAATTAAAAACATGAGAAGTTGATTATTTATACGTGGAAATAATTTTAATTGTTTAATATCATTTGGATATTGTTTAATATGCATTTTAATCGATAAACGACATAGATATTTTAATGTTCGACAAGAATTTCGTTGTCGATAAAAAATATTTGTTTCTAAAAATTTGATAAAATCATTTTTTTTATTTTCTAATTTTTTATTTAAAAATTGATAAGCATCATTTTTTAAAAGAATTTTTATTTGATATATATCAAAATAAATTTCACCATTATCATAAAGTGCATTAAGAAATTTATGAAATATATCTTTTTCATCATTTTTATATGTTTGTATAAGTTGAGATGATAATGTTGAATAAAGTATTGGAGAAGGAAATATCATATCAATAGAACGAGAATTTGTAAAAAATTCATGATGATTTGATGAAAGATAATAAATTCCAATGATTTCAAGAAAATAACCAGTCATTTTTTGTCGAATTAAATTATTATTATTATTTGTTCGATTATTTACTATATTTGTATTAAACACATCATGTAAACGATATTTTAATAAAAAACAACCTGAAATAAATAGAGTAAGTTTCAATACTAATAATGGAAGGGTGTGAACTGTTGAGCGAAAAGATTGACCATATTCGGGTCAAAAGAAAGCTTTCAACGAGAAACTAACGAATTTAAAATATGAGCTGCCTATGGTATACCTAGAGCAAGTTATTTAAATTTCAAGGTACGTGAAATTTAGGTATAAAAATGGATCAGGAAAGGTTTTCTCCACTATTGTAAGGACAAAACATAGTGTTGTTCGGGCCAATTAGGTGATTTGAAGGAGTCCTCTTTCATATGGCCCGAACAACACCATGTTTTGTCCTTATAATAGTAGAGTGAATTTTTTTGGTGGCTGATAGAAGACGCCGTTTTCTATGNTTTTTTTGGTGGCTGATAGAAGACGCCGTTTTCTATGAGCTACAGAAAAAATTATAAAGGCGGAACAGAGGTTTATTCGAGCCATATGAAAGAGCATCCTTGATAACTTCCAGATTGGCCCGAATAATCCTATGTTCTGTCCTTATACTAGTAGAGTGAATTTTTTCTGTAGCTCATAGAAAACGGCGTCTTCTATCAGCCACCAAAAAAATTCACTCTACTATTATAAGGACAAAACATGGTGTTGTTCGGGCCATATGAAAGAGGGCTCCTTCAAATCACCTAATTGGCCCGAACAACACTATGTTTTGTCCTTACAATAGTGGAGAAAATCTTTCCTGATCCATTTTTATACCTAAATTTCACGTACCTTGAAATTTAAATAACTTGCTCTAGGTATACCATAGGCAGCTCATATTTTAAATTCGTTAGTTTCTCATTGAAAGCTTTCTTTTGACCCGAATATGGTCAATCTTTTCGCTCAACAGTTCACACCCTTCCATTGTAAGATATTTTTATATTTATAATGAGAACATGAAAAAATATATTCTCATACTGATTGTCCTAATACAATTCAAATAGATTACATGATGAAATGGCTTGTATTATAAACATGAAGGTTTTATTAAGATTTCTTTTAATTCATTAGATACTAAATTTTATTTTAAAAAGAAAATTTTATTTGTAGCAGTTTATAATGTGCATAGAGCAGTCGTAAAAAACAATGTATATCTTAATCTGCATATTGTAAATTTCCGAAGAAGAATAACGGATGTAACAGTGATGCTGAACTACCGATAACATTAGTTTATGATAGAGCGATGCAATAGTCAACTAACGATGAAAACTGTTTTTTTTGTTGGCATCATTCAGCTTCCCAAGCATACATCCATTTGAATAATACAAGATACCGGTTCCACTTAATAATAATAACTAATAATGTATTCCTACACAAATGGATTGTACATCTATTAACGATCGTGTTTACTATGTAAGAAAGTCCAAGTAGCAAAAATATATATTTCTGTCCTTGTACATATTTCATTAGTGTATAAACATCTCTTTTCCATATGAGAAAATATCTCAAAAATGGTCATTAGGAAAGTTTCAATAAACAATGTTGGACAAAAATAGCGAATCTCTTTTCTCTAATTTGATATTATTGTGAATTATTTTAAGCTTATATTTTTATTATGTACGGGTCTCAATCAATGATCTGCACGCATATACTCACACCCCATATTGCAAGAGGTTAATAGAAATATCTGCAGCGGAAACAGACTATATTAGATTTCTCTTCATTCGAATTGTAGCTGAGTTGTCCATTACTCGCTTGATTAGATAAATTTTATTTTCATTCCATTCGCTTCAACACATTCTCGCCGTGTCTATTCATAGAATCAACATATTGAATCTTCATCATTAACACATATGGCTTACATAAAGAGTTTCAAACAAACCAAAACCAATTTCTACCATAAAAAAAACTTGGCGAAGCCGAGCATAGTTACACTATTGTTGCTCGACACAGTATACAAAAAGCAAAATTCAAACTATGAGTATGACAATAAAAACTGTTAGCACAATCCATGTGGGATTCAAGTATGAAACACGATGTAGCTGCTCTTGTCAATCACAGAAAATAACGTTACTCTATCTTTTTATTGTATCCTCCGAAAATTCAGTAAAGAAAGTAGTTTGAATATTAGAATGAGACGTTACTAATATATAATCTGTGGAAGGAAGGATATGGTTCAAATTTCTATCGTATATACTACAACACTCGTTTTTAGATCGTGTTTCAAATAATAGTTTCTATGAATATAACTAATCATATATATATATATATATTTGAGCTTAATCGAAGTGAAATATAATCGCGAGTACTTCAGCAATAATAAAATAAGATATCGAATTATGATCTCATTAGAGAACTACATTTAGATCTATATGAAATTCTATACAGTATAATATGATGAGACTTATAGGTTTTATAAATATATTGATTCTGTTTGATTTTTTGCTTTAGAAAAATTATTCTGAATATCAATTAAATATTTCTATTTAAAATTTTATACTTACTAATTTCAAGTAGAACATTAATATCAAATTCGTTCCAAATAAAATTTGTATAACTATTAAACATAGTTTCATAAATTGATCGATCATTTGATGGTGGTGAATATTCAAAAAAACTTTTTGAAATTTTTCCATTTGAAATAATTAATCGATTTAATAAATGATATAAATTATTTATTAAATTATTCGAATGATTTGGATTTATTTTTTGACATAATAAATAAAGTAAATATTGATCAAGTGTTGTATTACCAAATTGATCATATCCACTTGATATTGTTTTCATTAATGTTAAATTTAAAGAAAATGATTCATTTAATGTTGTATCAATATATTCAAGTAGATTTAATTGATCATCAGTACGATATAAACGTTGCCGATTAGCAGCAGTATTATCTGTTGATATTATATTTGTCATTAATCTATAAGAAACATAAATAAAGAAACTTCTTCTAGTTTTTTTTTTCTTCTTCTTTTAACTAAATAAAGAAAAACACAATATGACTGATAGGAAAAATATAAATAATAAGTACACCAAAACAAAGAGACTAACGTACACAGACATGATGAAAGTATTTTCTTTTTCCTTCGAGAATATGACGACAACAATCAGAAAAAAAAAACAGTAGAAATAGATTCTAGCAGATTAATTAATTCAACATATCCTTTGGGATATTCAGTCACTGCAATAAGTTATCGTTTGTTAGTTGTGTTATATTGAATGTTGTATATTTCAATAATTAAACATTAAAATAATATTATATAGATATTTGTTTGTTTTTTTATCTAAAATTATATATAGATAATCTAAATAAATTTATGATTATTAATCAATTCAATATCATTTCTATCAAGTTGAATGTGTAAAGCTTTTACTGAATCTTCAATAGATGTTATTTTACTAGCACCAGGTATAGGTACAATACATTTTGATTTCGATAAAATCCATGAAAGAACAATACAATAAGGTGAACAATGATATTTTTCTCCTAAATTTAAAAGTAATTTATCTTTATTTAATTTTTTATATTTTCTTCTACCACCCATTGGTGAATAAGCTAAAAATGTTAAATTATTATCTTCACAATATTTTAAAACTCCATCTATTTCTGATTGACGTTTAAATAAATTAAAAACATTTTGTACGGATTGTATTTCAATATATGTTTGTACTTCTTTTATTTGTTCAACTGTAAAATTTGATACACCAACATATTGTATTAATTTTAATTCAACAGCTTCACATATTGGTTGAAAAATTTCTTTTAAACTATATTTATTATCTTGTGGAGAATTATGTATTTGCCATAATGGAATTGGTTTTTGTCCTCCTAAACTTTCATAACTTTTTTCTATTGCTTGACGAATACGAGATGGATTTAAATCTGTTTCCCATGCACCACCCGGACGAATAAGACCACCTAAATTATTATTAAAAACAACAATACAAACAAAAAGAAAATATTATTTCAAAAACCTTTCGTAGCTATAATAATATTGTGTATATCAGCTGAACCTTGATATGTTTGTAATGCTTGATAAATCAATCTTTCACTATAATTCTTATCATTTTCATCTAAACAGTAAGCATCAGCTGTATCAATTAATGTTATTCCAAGGTCAAGTGTACGATGAATAACATTAATCGCATCTTCTCGTGTCGGTCGACCATATATTGATAATGGCATAGAACCTAAACCGATTCTTGTTATTTTAATATTAGTATGACCCAAATTAATAGTTGGTATATCCATAATTTATTTTATTATCTTCTCTAGAATATGATACAATATAATACTCGAAAACAAATATATTAGAGATTAAAGCAAGCACCAACAAACAGAAAAAAAAAAGAACAAGAATCATTAATATCATCACTGTATTGTTTTGTTTTGTTTTTTATATAAGATATAGATTAAATTGTATTTTGTTATGATGCTTATGCATTTCTTCAACAATGATAATAAAAAAGAATATTATCACTTAAGATTAACAAAACAAGAAAAAAAACCGATGGGAGAAGTGAGCGAAGGGCCGAAGGATGAAATGGAAGAAGAGAAAAAGAAAAGCATTGACATTCGACTACAAAAAAGAAAAACTGTATAATAAGAAAATTCTAATCGAACAAAAAGAAAAAAAAAATTTGATACAGATAAAATGAAAGAAAGAATAATGTTCTCTATTTGAAAAATACTTCTTCATATGTTTTCTTTCTTTCTTTCTCTCTCATTTAAACAGGTATACTGCCAATCATTATTTTTGATACAAAACTGACAATAGCTGTTGATGGTTGTGATGGATCAATTTCAGCAAATATATGGCATTCATTTTCAGGTTGAGAAGATTTTGTACCATTGAGTTTCTTTGATACAAAACCAAAACATCTAAAGAAGAAAAGAAATAAACTACTAAAAACAAAAGAAAATAATCTACTTTGCACGTGGTAATATTTCAAGATCATTATATTGATATGTCCAAAAACGATCACTTTCATAATCAAGACCACAATAAGTAACATATTCTTTTGGAAAATGACGTCGTGAAAATAATCTAAAGAAAAATTAATTTGTTTTTCTTTTTTTTCATTTTATTCAAAACAAAAGAAGATTTACTTTTTCTTAACATCTGTTAATGTAATACCAGTATTCGATACTTTAAAATTAACAACAGTTGCTTGTAAACGTTCAGCATTTTCAAATGTATTATTTAATGCTTTAGCTACAGCCATTTGACCGGATAATGATTCAACATCAACATTATTTAAATAAACAACATTACAAGCTAAGAATAAACACGAAAAAATTTTATTAATTATTTTCAGTGACTTGTTTTTTTTGTTGTTTTCATTTTTACCAGCTCCTTTTTCTAATAAATCTTTTGCAGACATTTTTTTACTTTCTTGTTGTTGATTCGTCATAGGATGAAAATCTTCAGCTATATCAACTGTTGGTAGTATAAGTTTTATTGGTAAGGCAAGTGCCGTTATTGTATGTTGATAGACTAATGCTGATAGATTGACTAAAAGACAGAAGAATGAATTCGAAAATTTGTATTTGTAAACTTACTGAAATCAGGTTCATTAGGACAACCTTTCAATCGAACATGTCCAGTTGGTGTTCGTTCAATAAGATAATGTCGAACAAGTTCAGCAAGAGGATCGGCACCTTAAGATTATTATTTTATTTTTTTTTAATAATGTTTTTTTATGTTTAATTGAAATCTAATAACAAACCTGGTTTTGCATGAATACCCGGTGGTAATATTTCAACTTTAACAGCTAGACCATAAGAACCTGGAAAACCTTGACTATCACGAACAAGAAATGTACCAGGTGGTTTTGTTTTAAGTAAATTAATAGCTATGAATAAAAACAAGAAGAAAATAGATAAATATATTCAATGATTATATTGGAACATACCATCTTCACGTGACATTTTTTCTTTATACCAAAATTGACTTACATTATGTGCTAGATAAGCACCATTACGATTTACATCCGATTCTATAAAGAGGAGAAAAAAAAAATGTTTTCTTTTTCTTCATAAAAATTTGTCATTTTATTTTTGTTTTATCTATTAAACATATTCCAAATTTTTGTTGTTATTGATCGAATTGAAAATTTCTTTGAGTTACACTAGAAATTATTTAGGATGTCTAATTCTTTTTTTTTTGTTTTTTCTGTTGCAGAATATGATGTACTGCTGGTACTGTTTTATCCAGAGGGCTGCTTCTTCAAAGATCTGGTTAGTCCTGTTGAAGTTTATAGTTATTGTGTCGCATACCATGTGTCTACGCTCCAAAAAAAAACAACATGTATTCGCCCTTCGGAAGAGAAAATCTGGATAGAACATTGGTCGGTGATTTTGATCAAGGTGTGTACATAAGAAAAACATGTATTTTTATTTGAATGGACGCAAATAGAAAGAAATCGAGAAAACAATTAGATAGCCTAAATATTGTTAAGTATTTGTAAAAAAGATGTTCAGCTCTATCAAAAGTATGGTGACTGAGACATATGGAGAGGCATTTTGTATTTTTGTAAATTGAATATTTTCTATAAGAAAGCATCTAGAAAGTGTTAAGAATTTTCTCAGGAAGTCAGACAATATTAAAGTTTGAAATCATTAAGTTTTAATTTCCTGTTAAAAAAATTTTTTTTCTGATATTTAAGTTAATTCTATGTTAAACATACCTGCTGTAGAAGAGACACTTGATCTACGTGAACTTTCATCTTGATTTCGTAATGAACTAAAAAAGAAAATAAATGAAAAAGAAAATTTATATTCATAATAATATTCTTTACCTATTTCCAGTACGTGTTTGAGTATTTGTATTATCTAAAAATAGATAACAAAAAAAAAAGATTTATCTTTCTAATATAAAATTTTATTTAACAAAAATATATATATACATACAAGATTGATTCATTGCTGGAAATGTAGGCATTGTTGATGAAATTTTCGTTGTTTGGTCATCGGCATTTGCACTTGATGTCTATTAAAATCAAGAAGATTCGATCAGAAACAAAAAATTCTAATTTTTTTAAACACATCAAACAAAACAAAAAAAAATAAAGGGTAGCGAGCGATGGGATAGATTAATTATCATTCCATAGATGCATGTCTTACAGTCTCAGCAAATATATTCGTATCTGTTACACCAGGAACAATAGGTGATTGTAATACAGTACTCTCAATAACAGTTCCATGTGGTCTAGCAGTTCGTTTTGTAATATGACTATTCGAAATTTTATGTTTTATATCAGTTTCCGATGTTTGTTGCTGTTGTTCTTGTTGAAATTTATTATCACTCAATGGATTTGATAAACCAACTGAACCCGGAAATAGAGTTGGTAGTATTGATATACCTTTTTTAGCTGTTTTCACAGTAGATGATGGTGATGGTGTACTTGTTGTCTAGATGACATAGATAAATAAATGGACTGTGTTTAGTTTATTTTAACATACTAATTATGTATACATGCTGATATACAAATTTAAAGATAGAATAAAACAAATATATTAATCTTACCATGAACTTTACAAGCTAAAGTTTCTATGAGTAGCAATAAATTTTTCAAACTGATGATAATAATACGTTTTCTTTTTCAAAACAGATATGTAATCAATTTATTTACTTTCAAAAATATTTTTTTTATGCTTATTTTTCTCCAATCATGTTATGTTAATCGACCTTAGATTTGGCAAAGATAGGTGTCATATATAACGAAAGGAAAGGCTTAGAAGAAAATTAAACAAATGTCATAGTGCATAAACATTTTTCTAACAACTACTGTAACATGGATTATGCGAGATAGAAATAACATTTTTTTTTGCTACCATTCGCTACTGTGATGCATCACTTATGATTCTTACTATTTTTTGTTGTTGTTCGGAACGATGACTAAAAACAGGTATTGATGTACCACGTGATTGTTCTTGTGTTCGATGATAGTATTGATTATTATCAATAAATTTTTGTTGTTGTTGTTGTTGTTGTTGTGAACTAGATCTTGCCATTGATTGATTTCCTAACCATTCATTATTACCATATTGTATATCAACAGGTATTTGTCGATATCCAGTATGATATTGTCGTGTATTCATACCTGAATCTGTTTCATAACCAGTTATATGTTCTGAACGATTTGTTTGATTAAGACCAGAACTACTACGTATATTAGTTGGTAATCTATTTAAATTTGTTGATGATGTCATTCGATTATTGACAATAACAGTTTCAGGTATAACAGCCATACGTGGTGGTAATGGGCGTGTCATATGTAATCGACCACTACTTATTAAACCACTATCTGTATCGTATCCATCTGGATGAGGTGTTGAACGATGATTTTCGTGATAACGATAATAAGGATATGTAGGCGGTGGTGGAACACGATAATATCGTGGTGGATATACGCGAGATGTCATCAAACCCGTATCGGTTTCATAACCAGAATAATCAGGACCACGTACACGAATACCACTTGATGGTAATGTTGAACGTGGATAATAATAACATTCATTTGGTATATATGAATCAACATATGTACGTGAAGGTGAACGAATTAAATCCATACGACGTAATTCAATAGGTCCATCAGGTGGGGGTTCTGATGCTGCACGAAAATATGTCGGAATGGCAGTCGTTGATGCTGATGTATAACCATCTTTATATTAAAAACATGATATTATTTTTAGTTTCTTTAATACAAAAAAAACAAAACAAAACAAAAGAAAATTTCTTTTCATTACCTCGAGTATCTTGTCGACTATAAGGTCGTCTTGATGATAATGTGCTTGTTGAACTATCCGTTCGATAGAGTTTTATTGGAAATCGACCTCGATTTGGATCCATCTAAATATATACATATATATATATAATTTATTATGATTAGAAAAAGAATTTTTTTTTTTTGAAAATTATTTATATGAAACTAATATAATGAATCAACCGATATGACTTAAAAGTCGATTGAATAAATATATTTTAAAGTCATAAAATAATATATTACAAGTACTATTTGATGAAATGGTTATATTTTCTTTTCTTTGGAAATTGATGAATTTTATATCATTGTTATGAATCTATGACATAATAACTTTTTCTTTTTCTAATAAAAATAATGAATGTTTTTCTATCAGCTTGTGTGTGTGTGTGTGTTTTTTTTTGTTATGTTAGTCTACCTTGAATAACTAAATGAACATAATCTAATTTTTCTTTTTTCTTTTTATCTACGTAACAAAAAAATGTTCTGATAAGTCAAGCGAAAATTTAGATAATCAAAAAAGAAAGAAAAAAAAAAACTTACATGATGAATCGAATCAGTATGAGCAGCACTTGAACTATAAGTTCGTCGATTATGAATTGGTATATCTGTTGTTAAATTTGATTGATTTCGTTGTGCACGTTTTTTTAATGTATTTTGAACACTTTCTAATAATGAATCAATAAGATGTTCATCAATTGATGGTGATGTTTGTGGTTTTGTTGTAGGAATATCAGTTGTACCAGTACCACGTTTAATACGTATACGTTCTTCACGGGTTGTTTTTGAACGTGGTGTATTATTTACTGTATTATCAATATTAGAACATTTTGGATTATCTGATGTTGATGATGATAATTTTGGATTTGTTAAATCATTATTTGAATGACGTTGATAAGAATATCGATGAATATTATTATTATTATTATTATTACTAATTGGACTATTTACTTCATTAAGTAAATCTTTAACAAGATCATCAAGTTGATCGACATCTGATTTTAATTTTGATGATGATGATGATGACATGATTTTATTTGAAGATTTATATGAGACAGGCAGCGTTATGCCGCTGTCACTAATATTGCTATTGTATGAAGGAGAAGAGAAGACACTAGTTATTTGTACAGGCAAGCTCGTAGCCTTTTGGTTTGTTTGAGATGGAAAGGAAGAAGAAGTAGTTGTACTAGAAGCGTTATTATAATGATTGACTTGCACGTTTTTGTACATAGGCTAAAACATAAGAGAAAGAAGAAAAAAATCAAAGAACAATGTTAATAATGCCTTGGTGCCATAGAAGAAATAGAGAAATGAAAAAGAACGAAAAAAACATGTTTGTCTCTGGTAAATGAGAAAGAAGGGCAGTTGGAATCGTAGTAGAATTTGTTTTTCTATCTCTCCATAGTGGTCGTACTCGTTTTTTTTTCTTTCTTCCTCTTCTATTTATGTGTGCGTGCGTGTGTGCACAATTTTTATATAACCCCTTCCTTATCCCGCATTTTTGTATTGAGACGAGAGCGCCCGTCGCCTCAACTATTGCCTAAATAATGGCATCAACGACTCGTATTCTGTTCGTTCGCTTTACTATCATGTTGTATTACTTTATCTGATACATACATACTGTGACGAATAAGAGAGAAAGAAAAAAAAAAGCCACCATCAGTTTTTTTTGTTGTATATATATATATAAGCAATAAATCGGCTTAGAAATTTTGATGAAATGTATAACATAGATGTGCATATAATTAATATAATTATGGAGAAATGAATGATCTTATTAAAAATGATAATACTTTTCTTTCTTTTTTTTTTTTCGTTTTATAAAAGTATTTCTTTTGAATTTCGTCTATAATGATAAAATAATATTAGTAGAAGTGCTGACAAATAGAAATCTTTATTGACAACATTTATTTTATATATGTACATACCAATCAAAAACGATATTCAAATCATCATTAACTGTTAGATTTATAATGTCCTTCTCAATGAATAACAAGTATACATGTGATAGTCTTCAAAATTTATTGATCTAAAACAAACGAAATGAAACCAGAAGAAATACATGAAAAAAAAAGTAGAAAGGAACGAAAGACGACATTCAACACATACGACAGACATATATAAAAAAAAAAAAAAGTAAAGAAGTCTGTTGCATGCTTATTTAACAATGATTCATTTTCCTAGCATTCCGAAAAGACAAAAACCAGCTGTGCACGTATGTTGTCAATAGAAAACTGTCTAATGAATGCATACAATAATTTATTGTACTATAGAGGAAAATCTATCGTTAATAAAACAAGACAGAATGTCATGTTGTATAAAGAGTAAAAAAAAAAATACAGATTTGTCTTCGAATGAAAAAAAAAACGATTTGTTTCGACAGTAAAAAGAGAAAAAAAATCAACATTGTTTGTCTATTCTTAATAGTATCTCATTTTCTCATATTATCTTTACCTGTCGCTTTTTTTGAGTGTCTATTCACGAGACACAAACTAATTCAAATTTGTATGCACACACTTTTTTTTTATATAGTGATCATCATCACATTTGTTGTCTCATCTTTCGATCACGAATCGATTTCATCTCTATGTCTCAGTCTACTCTCTCTCGATATAAATCTATGTCAAACATACGATTGTCGATGATGTTCAGTTGAGCAGTAAAGAATTCACACAAAAAAAAATGCATGATCGAGGGGACAATATAAAGCCTACTGCCATGCAATGTATATGAATACATACAGTTCACCGTTCTTTTTTTTTCTTCTCTCTTTCTGTATGAATATGTATATGCACACAAGATGAATTTATTCAACGAGGGGTAGAATAGTACATCCTGACCGAGTTATATGCTTTTATTCTCTGTTGATGTAGTAAATGATGATGATGATGATGATGAAAGAATAACGGTAATGTTAGAGATTTAACAAAAAAGAACGGCTCAGTTAGCCTGATGTAAAATCAACAAAAAGAAACTGCCGCACTGTTTACATTTACATTTTGTCGTCTCAAGAATGTATGAAGAGAACCTTCGAAAAGCATCAATATTGATACAGAAAAAGAAGGCGAGAAAAAGAGAGAGAGAGAGAGAGAGAGATTTGTATCAACACTAGTTGTAGTAATAGATCTCATATGAATCAAGATTTACATATAAATAAATATCTCATCTGAACATTGTTATAGTCAATCTGAACCAGCAGTATCTTTTGTATATACTTGTGGGTGATTAACATTAAGACAAAGAGATAACATCACTACAATGTTTGGACATGTTTATAGAGATCGATAGAACAGTATTCAAGGATACACTATTCTAGACAATAACAACAATATAATGAATCAATGATATGTATGTGATAAGATTTCTAAGAGCATAAAAAAAAACTGCATTATGAAAGAAGTCAGATTCACTCCTTAGCAAGATTCTTCATTTGGTTATTGTCATTTATATAAATATCGTTTTCATGCTATATTCTCATTCTCATTCGTGCATGTTCAACAGTAACAACACGACAACCAAAGACAAAAAAAGGTCACATACATCATAAGCTTGCGTAAGCATACACGAGGGTGCTCGTTGATCAAGGCAATATTATTATTTCAGCAAACGATGTAGACTAAAATCAATTATCATTCGCTTGATTAGAATAAGAAGTCGACCAATACAACAACATATAAGTGATCAACCTCAAGCAACACACATATTGAATTGAACAAATTATTCTTCATATTTAATAGAAGACGAGAATAATAGACGAAGAGAGAATGAGTGGTTAAATACTTCTGTATGAGCAAGAAAATGTCATTGAGATTTCTATTGACTGAATATCGTATGGCATTCATATGTCAATATAAATGAAAATAAAAGAAAAGAAAACGAAGAAAAAAAAACGAATCATCATCTAGAACAAAAGTATTCATCAATCTTATAAAAGAAAAAAATAGTGATTATTTAATCATAATAAAATGATATGTATTCAGTTTAAAATAAAATTTATTTACTATGTCTAATATATCCATCAAATGAAATTTTATCAAAAATCAATTTTTCCTACAAGTGCATATATTAAATTTCTTTAAAGACAAGTGTTTCGTACGTACAGAACAAAAAAAAATCAGATAAATTTTGATCGATTAAATTCATCATAAATTCAATTATATAAGTCAATTATGTCTTTTTTTTCTTGTTAAATATATGCTTGGTTTCATAAGTGCATTATGGAAATTCGACGAAAGAGAAAAAAAATCTAATAAAATTTCGTCTTCAATTGACATTCGAATCGATTGAATTATATATAAAAGAAAAAAAAAGACGTAAATGATTCATTTTGTCAGAAAATCATATGATTTTATTGGACGAAAGTTGACGAATGATATCATCGTGTCTCTAGATTTTCTTGGTTAATTAATTAATAGCATCATGTATTAGTGGAATGGAAGAGAATTTTTGAATGGATGAAAATTTATCATTTAATAAAGAGAATATCTTGCATAGGAATTTGTTTTTTATTCGCTACTTGTTACTAGGACACGTGATTTTATTAAGACTTTACCAAAATAACATGAAAGCGAACTGTGTTATGAAGTGCAGAACAGCTTTTTTTTTCTTCTTAATCCTCTCGATATTGTGAGGTTCCTTTATATTTTAGAAATAGACATAGTCATTATTTCTCTTTTGTCATGCAACATTCAAATTATTGATAGCTATTGGAAACTAAAATGAGTAGAAAACTATTACCATCGATATCTTCGATGAATTCAACGAACATGGCTAATCTCAATCGGATGACATTATTAATGTCAATATCAGAAATAACACCACAAATTTTTATTGCTGGTTTATTATTTTTATATTTTTTCATATAATTTTTAATTTATCTAAAATAATTTCATAGGTCAAATGGCCGCAACTGTTGAACAAGTACAAAAATTAGGAATAACATATATTTTGGTAAAATTTGTTCTTGTTTTTTTTTTTCTTCTAGTTTAATTTTATTAATTCGTTGTTTTGTTTTGTTTATTTATTTGTAACAAAAAAAAAGAATGTTGCAGTTGAATCATCTCCGATTGTTTATCCAAAAAATATTAAAGTAGAAAAATTTGATATTATCGATTTTCCAACAGCACCAATAAGTAATTTTTTTACTTCATTAACTGATAAAATTCACATCCATCTTAATATTAATAAACAAAATAAAGTACTTGTTCATTGTATGGCTGGTATTAGTCGAAGTAATTTGAATTTTGATTTACCATTTTTCTTTTAGTTTCTGTTCATTTTTTTTTTTTTTTTTGAATTTAGGTACAACAATTGTTTTTGCTTATTTAATGCGTTATATGAATATGACATTACGAGACGCATATTTATTATGTAAAAAACATCGACCTATTTGCTTTCCAAATTTAGGATTTTGGAGTCAACTTATTGCATATGAAAGTCAACTAAAAAAAGAAAATAGTGTTAAACGTAAGAACATTTATTTGATATTTGTGAAATGAATATTCACTCATTTTTCAGCTACTAGAAGACAATTGATTAGAGCTAAAATAAGAATTTTTCATTATTTTAGAATATTTATGTTCAGATGTTCCTGCTCAGATAACATTGAACAACTATCAGTAAATATTAGTAGTGAGTCCTAAACTTCTGACACTCTCCGAATGATGTCAGTTTAGATTTCGATTCTCTCTACACTCATATTTAAATATCCACGAAAAAGATTGTATCATATATAACAATATTGTTTTTGATATATTCAAATGATATTTTCGTAGTGAAACTTAGGAAAATCAGATGAAAAAATTAATTGAACAGCATCAAGTCTTAATATTTATTCGAATGCTTTTTTTTTTTTGAGAAAATCGATTGTTTTGATATGATAGCAAATAAGAAAAAGTCATAGATACAAATTTGTATTCTAAGATTCTGATGATCAAAATTTCAATTTCGAAAGAAACAGTTTCGATCTTAAAGAAAACATAAATCAAAGTATGCGAAAATAATAATGATGAGGTGTAAGGACAGAAGTTTAACAAAAATTGCTTTTCAGTATTGAGTAAACTATTCAATATAAATTTTTGAGTACTTGTTTACTTTAAATACAACCTTCACCCTGATTCAATATTGTACGTGTGTGAACTAAACCACCAATAGGTTTAGTGACTGTGTTTAAAGTAACAAAAGTATCATCTTGAGGCACTTTTCTTTACTGTTCCTTTACATAATCCTCCAGAAATGCAATAACGAGATTCTATTGACATACAATTTTCAATCGTATCTCAACAACGTCTTTCGAATGAATATTATGACTACTAAAACTTGATGCTTTTGATATAATTCAATTTTTATAGGTTTTTTCTTATTCTTTTTTAACGCTAATTTTCACTGCAAAAGTATTGTCTGAATACGTCAAAAACAATATTGTTCCAATTTTGAATTATCGGCATAATAAAAAAAAAAAAAAATTCATTTCATTGGCTATTTAGTGATATCAACTCAATTTGGTAATGTACCTGATGTTGCATATGAAGAAATAAAACAATTACGTGCTCAACAACAATTTGGATCAATACCTTTATCTACAACAGCTTTAACTCCTGCTATTAATAATTCAAGCAATAGTAGTAATACAAACATAGATACAATTTCTAATCAAACTCGACCAACTGTTCGAGATATATCCATTAATCATTCAAATGGTGTTTTACGATCTCGATCATTAAATTCAAATAATCGACCAACTATTGCACCTGCATCAACATATATTAATAATTCAGTTTATCAAGCATCATTATTGACAACTAATAAACAAACATTCCTAACACCAGCACGATTTGGTGTACATCGTTCTCTTACAAATGGTGCATCACATAATAATAATATACTTCCACCTGGACCAAGTACATCATCAAGTTCTTATATTAGTAATCGAAGTTTACCAACAACAATAAAACATCGACATATGAATAATAATCGTAATCATCCATCAACTGTAACTATTAATACAGCAGCAACAACAATAAATAATGATGAACAACGTTTAAATTATGAAACAACATATCGTGCAAGTTTTTTTAAACCATTAGTTCCTTAGAAAAAGAAAGACTTTGTTGTTTTTTTCTCTCCTCAATTGAATGAATGATTGTATGCCTGTTTTTAACGTGATACGCATTTGTATTTTATCTTATGATATTTTTTTTTTTTTTTGAATGTCAGATGCGTGTCTTCCATTTTGTTTTTCTTATATGTTTGTTAATAAAGCAAAATAATATTCTTCTTGGTGTGTATTAAAAATAGAATATTAAATCATATTTTACATTTATTTGTTTTAGAAAGTTGTAAATTATGTTAGGTATTACAGAAGTTATCGAAGATTTATATATATCTGGTCTTGAATCAACTACAACAATATTAAATAAAGGTATTCGTTGTGTTATTAATATATCATCTGAATGTCCATCACAAGATCTTGGTCCATCAGTTGATTATGAAAAAATTAGTATACCTGATTTACCAACAACATCAATACAACCTTATTTTGATCGATTAACAGATCGAATAGAACAAAGTTTACGACAAGGAAGAAAAACACTTGTTCATTGTTATGTTGGACGATCAAGATCAGCATCGATAATTTTAGGTTAGTTTTAATCATTGATAATTCAATAGTTTTATCGAGAAATATATGCAATACTTTTACGGTAGTTATTTAAATGAATACTGTGGTACTCTGTAAGACCATAGGAAAAATTAATTTTCGGTTTTTGACTTGAAACTTTGCGTAGAGATAGATCTTAGTGGCAATCATTTATTGGGAATGTATCAGATCTTGTCACTGTTTCTATCCTAAAATATAACAATGGTAATGGCGTATCTTATAAATTGCTTATCTAAGCCGGCCGATTTGATATTCTTATTTCAGGATAGAAGCTAACTTTGATAAGAAATTACTCTCGTTAAGATCTGTGTCTATACAAAGTCTCAAGTCGAAATATATGAGAAAATTGTTTTTCAGTGAATCACATATCTCAAGTTATGAGATTAGAGTCTTTTTATCATTCATTTTTTTTTTTGAATATTATCATAAGATGTTCGTAGAATTTTTGGATTAACTAAGAATCTTATCTCCAATCAAACATTTTGATACATGTTACTTTAACTATTTATAACGTTTCTTTATAATCCTTCTTGTTTCACATGTGACAAAAAAAAGAATAACTTCATCTATAAGCTGATTTTGCTTAGTGCTAAACTTTTCACTAACAAATTTTCTTTTATTCTAGCCTACCTAATGAAGTATAAACAAATGTCATTACGTGAAGCATTTTATTATCTACGCTCACGTCGACCAATAATTGGACCTAATTTTGGCTTTATTAAACAAGTAATAATAAAAAGAAAAAAACAGATTTCATAAAAACTTCCAATATATATATATATCCTTTGTGGTCTTTTTTGTTTTTAGTTAGTTGCTTATGAAAAATGTTTATTTGGTTCGACAACTGTTTCATTTGTTGATACATCATTTGGCTCTGTACCTGACATATATTTATCAATTGGAGGAAAATCAAATACTCGTCGACAAACAACAACACTTCCTGTTCAAATAACAAATAAAACATTATCATCATCACCATTATCACCGAGGCCAAGTTCGTTTATTAATCGTTCGATGACAAATACATTACCAACACAAAGTTCAAGAATTAATTCAAGCTATACAAATAATAATAATAATAATACTTATCGTTCAGTAAATTCATTGATTAATAATTCAAATAGTTATTATAATTCATCATTTTTACATGAACAACCTGAACAAACACGTTATAATTCTACAATATTTAAGCCATATGAATCTATACGTGAACCATTTCTTTCAACAAGATTAAATGCATTACGAGCAGGCAAATATACTCCACCAATCTTAAGTCGTTATTATCTACCATAAAAAGACCAAGATCTTTATTATATTTTTTTGATTCTGCCAGATAATAGTTCTATTCTTTCTTTAACAGAAGTGCTTGGTCTTTTTTTTTTGTCTTGTTAGCTTCGTAATCTCGGGATGATTATATCCAAAGAAAAATTTATCTTTTGCTTCTTTTTTTTTTTTTTTATTTTACTGGTTTTTTTTCTCTATTGACAAGAATCCGGTGTGTGCTTCGCTTAAATTACTTAATGGATTATTACTATTATTATTATTAATATTATTATTATTCAAGTGAGAATGCTATATATTATGACGAATGCCATTTATTTTTGTATTTTATATTAGTTATAATAAAATAAAGACATTTAAATGGAATATATAAATTGATTTTCTTATTGCAAAAAGGGTGTGGATATGGGTGTGATTGATTTTTTATGAAGCAAACACTAACATTCAGACTTGAGACCATAACAAAAGATACAGGTGTCTTGTTCTTATCGATAATAAATTACTTGAAAAAAGGAATATGGAATGTTTTTTGATTTGCTATTAGTTCTAATAAAACTTTTGGCATGATGATCGTGCTTTTTATGATTTTGCATTCAAAATAAAGTAATTTTTCATATTACTCATTACGAATGTATAAAAAATGATCGAATCAAAAGTAAAGTGTTAAAGTTTTTTTTAATTGTATATTCTAGTAATATCAATGAAAAAAATTCCTTAGGACACGTAACTTGTAAATATAAATTTATATTATTCTGTTACTCTCTTTCATTTTATATTGAAACGATTCATAAAATGTCCCTCTTGACTTTGAACTCATGAAAAACCATTAACTAGGAATAGACAAGTAAATTGATTATATTGAAAGTTATATCAATGTATGAAATCAAGTAATAAAAAAAAAGTTATCAATTATTTGTTATATTTTGCCTTTAGCTGTATCATGTGATGAAAGTCCTTGTGTCTGATTATTATATAGACATAACAAAAAAACATTTGTCTATAAAAATCAAAAAAGACAACTGTTTAGAATGTTTTCATTATGATATTTACTAATATAAAATAATCGATTGAATATTCATAATATGTTTTCTTTTGTTCATATTGTTGTAATGTCGAAGTAAAATCAAAATGATCTTTTTATTCTTGTTTTTTTTTTTTTTTACATTTGATCTTTTGCTCATATTTAAGATTGACATATATAACACGAAGATTACCTTCTTTTATTTGTCAAATCTTTGAAACTTATTTATCTGTTGTTTTTCTTCATGAATATTTTCGTAGTTTGTATTATTATGAACAAAGAAAATATAAAATAAAGATTTTATAGAAAGTACGTTTCTTCTGTTTGTTTTTTATTTGGGACATTTTAAAGATTTATTAAATGTATGAGCATGTTGTTTATAACATTCAGTAACAATACGATCACATTCGCAAACACGATGTGTGCATGAACCTGGTGCATCTCTACACTGTGGAAGCTGAGTGTTAGAATCTAAATCCCAACTATAAAAACTGACATAAGGTGAGCATGAAAGGAAACTTGTTCGAGAATGAATAATATCATCATAACAATGATCATGAGCTTTGCAACAAGCATCTGTGCCATCAACTGGTTCACCTTTACCACCAAATCCACACCTAGACAAAAGAATTTATTAATTAATTTATTGAATTTTATTTTATTATTTGTTTAAAACTAATTACCAGCAACCATAACCATTATAATCTAATGGAGATTTGCCTAATGCTTGTCCGATCATACTACCAAATTGAATTAAATTTCGTCCTTGACTTTCAGATCCAGGTGTAGGTGTAGCATTGATTTGAAAGAAAGAGATCAGAAAAAGAAACGTAAGAGTAAATAAGGATGAAGACATGATGGAGTGTTGGACAAATATATTTCTAAAAAATAAAAACAAAAACGAAATATATCATCAAATATTCAGATATAATCTTTAATGTAAATCCAGTAGCAAGGACATATATTTATACAAAAATAACAAAATAATAGTTTAATCAGATTTTTATTTTTATTTTTTTTTGTGTCACCCACCTATTGTTATTGACTAAAAGAAATAGATAGAATTAAAATACGTAATATTAATCGTGAGAACTATTTTCATGTTTATTGCAAATGGTAAAACTCAATGCTTTTTAATGCCTACGCGCAATTTATCAGAAAGAAAGCAAATAATATTCTACTCTAAATTTGACCTTGTCGAACAAATTATAACAGGTCAAAAAACAAAAATTTTAAAATTTCATTTCATATTTTGTATCATTCTTTTATCAGATTGTGGAATTAAAAAGTTATATTGATGGAATAATTGCTTAGATTTGACCTGTAATTATTGACATTGAAACATACTGTAAAGAAAATATATCTTTTGGAAGCTTCGTTTTTTTTTAAATTCAAAATTCTATTCAAAGTTTTTTCTAAGCATGCCTATATTTTTCAAAAAAATCGATTTACTTTTCGTTAGTGATGTGATAAAGTATGAAAAACTGCGCTTTTAAATAAATGAGACGTACAAAATCAATTTTAAGCAGTAGAAATCTTTCTTTGAAATCTGTAAAACAATTTTTTTTTCTATTAGGACTTGATAGGATCTCTAGAAAGATACGGTTTGTATTGTAGAGTCTATTATGAATTTTCATATTCTTTCTTCGTATGGTTAGAGACATATTCGCTATTTGTTTTAAATTAATTTTTATTATTTGTGAACTGAAAGAGCCAACATTTTCACACAAGTCTAAGATAAAAGAATTGATTTCGAACAATAATCTTTCTAAAGAATCAAAGTTAAACGATAGATGCGCATATCCTTTTTTGCCTGAAATGGTCCATATATGAAAAACCAAAAAAATAAAAACCTGCATTTTTATCATTGTTGAGAAAGTTATTTTTTTAGCTCTTCAAAAGACAATCTAAAATAATTATTGTCTTTTAGAACGTATACTATTCCATCTTCCTATATTCATAAAACATATTTGAATTAACAAATCATTAGAAAAATTTTATTTTATGTTGTTTCTATCAATCAAATAAGGTTATTCATTACGAATATAAATATGAAAATTCTAATTATTTGTTCATATTTCTGTGTAAATCAATCTTGTTTAGAATATTTCGGATGTACGATGAATGTAAAAAAATACTATGAATGCATTTATAATTTTTTTGAAAGTATATGTGGTGCTTGTTTATGTACTATTTATTCATCTACGTATTTTTAAACACGAGTGAAAAAATAATATTGCACCATAAGTATACTTGTGTCATCAGTTGCAAAAATAATGTGATTATAAAATGATAGTGAAGATAATACAATCGAAGTATAATTTTTTCTTTTTGATTATGAATCAAAATAAATATTTTTATAATGTTTATAGATAATTGATAAATTAGATAGTGATTGTTTTATCATCAAATCGATACTTTATTTGCAAATTAATTTTCTTTTCAAAATTTCTACAAACTTAATCAAATAATTATGACAAAAGCCTTACATTTGGGTGTGGCAAACATCATTATTTACGCAGATAAAAAGGAATGTGTAAAATTTTTCATTCCTTACAGGTGTAGGAGTAGTCTCATACGTATTTAAAATATGCATTAAAAAAAACGTCACGCTTGATTTCATACAAATTATGACTTTCCTACTTGTTCTCATCAGTCAAAGCAGAAGTAACCCGAAAAGAAGTAATATATAAGTAACAATTAGTAATAAATATGGATGGAATGTCAAACAACGTTAATAATGAAACTAATGAGAGTAGTCAATCCTCTCCACCACCACCTTATAACTCGGTTGTTTATAAAAAAGATGCAAATGAATTCAATAGAATTCAATCATCAACTCATTTTGATGTTAATAATCAATCATTTGTTGATTTTGATAATTATCCTGGACCACCATTAACAGATGGTTATATACATGTTGATCAAAACAATCTATCGATCAATCATAATAATATAATATCAAAAAAGATTCATATTTATTTAATTGTAAATGGGATAATTACAATAATATTTGGTTTTATTTCTATTGCAATACAAATAAGTATAATAAAATTGCATTTAATCACCTATTATTATTATGGATTTTGGGGTGGACTATTTCTTGTTGTTATTGGTCTATGTACTATGGCTCATCATCATGGAATGGATAATTCGAAAATTTTTCATTCATTTCTTTTGCAAAGTGTATGTGTAGGTATTCTATTTGCTATTGGTATTATTATTATATTAACTGATACATGTACTGATAATACAGCAGAAAATGATAATGGGAATCATTTATGTAGCCATTCATATAAAGTACTTAATGGATTTTTACTTAGTACTTTTGCTATAATATTTTTACAATCAATAATGAATGGAATTATATTTTTTATTTTGCGAAAACAACCTTCGTCAATTTGAACTTCGTTTTCGTGACAGTCTTGTTTTTTTCTTTTATTCTGTTATTATTAGAATAAAAATACAAACGTGAATAGTCGACAATAAAATCTATGAAAACAAATAAAAATATTTTTCATCTTGGGAGGCACCTGTCGAAAAGAAAACAAAATAACCAACTACTCCTTCTTTTAATTTTGTAAAAAACAAAGTGTCACTAATAAAAGCTTCGAAGAATCAGGATATACTTTCAATATGAGTAGTTGAAGCTACAATTTCTTTCGAAATAATTCTACGACACGTGAAGATCCAGCGTACCATAAAACGATTCTTAGTTAATGCAGACAATAAAATAAGATAAACATTTGCATGGTTAACACTTTTTTTACAAGCATTCTTCGCATCGAAATAAATGCTTAAGATGAACCAAAGTAGTTGATTTCAACGTTTTTGATGACTTTTTCTCACAAATAACTTAGTGTTTCTTTTCTTTTTATGGCTACTAAGTTTTTAGATCGGAAAAAAATCATTGTCATTTTCATAGATTACACTCCCAACTGACGTCCTTCTTTTCAAACCTCAGGATAACAAATTTACTATGTTGATATAGGAAGCTAAGAGGATAACCCAAATCGTCTTATGTGCTTTCAGTTAAACAAAAACTGAATTCTCTACAACAATACGATATATGTATAGATTTTTTTGTAATAATTGTTTCAGGTAATGCTATGGAACTTTTGCCAAAGATATTCAAAGAGCCTGCTTTTCGAAACAGTGCGGGAACTTGAAAATCAATGATCATGAATATATGCTTTTCTGTTTTACAAGTAATCAAGTTATTACGTTTTTATGAGAGAATTTTTGCTTCAGATCATCGTTGTTTTTTTATATCTTATCGGTCCAATTGAGTGTCCTACGGCTTTTTGTATGTGAAATAGTTAGATAGCTACATAACGACTAAGGAAAAAATATTTTGTAAGTATATTCACTTAAAGTCCGTCATCCCTTAGAAAATCCAACTGTTCAAAATAAAGAAGAATTAAAGATGAGTTTTGCGATCGAAAGATGCAGTAAATTTTTTTCGTTCAGAGTATATATGACTTTTCTCAAAATAGTCGAATTTTTACAGACTTTCGGAAGAAACTTCTATCCAACTATCGTTATTTGTGGGAAATGTTTAGTATTTTTTTAAAGCTTCTTAGTCTTCGAAAGATAGCCTTTTTATTTTCATTGGCATCGAATAAACACTCTTACATAATTGAATCACGTTCTTTATCGAAGTCTACTTAAATTAAAAATATGTCTAAATGGTTTTATTTTTTTCTCTCAGAACATTGTTCTATGGTATCGTAAACATTTTTTTCTTTCCAAAGTTACAATAAAAGTAAACTATTGCGTGATTGGATTCTTGCTTAGTTTAACAGTATATGTACTAAATTCATCATTGAAAATGAATTTCCAAATTTTGTTTGGATCAAAAATTGTACACAGGAATTAGCTTTTGTTTACCAAGCTCTTTTTTAGGAACAAAGCTATAAGGATTCTCATGAAACTCATAAATGCGCTATTCTAAGTGACAAAAGTTAATTCATTCGAGCTCAATTCAGTTGAAGAGTCATCTGCTCAGACAAGAATTTAAAACAAATTTAATTTCAATAGTATCGACGCCAGTAATTACATCTTGTGAAAAGTTTGAATCATCAAGTGATACAAACGGTTGAATATTAAATTTATACCACTGCAGTTAATCCAAAACTAAATGATAAGCCATTAAGTGTAATAGAAGATTTATTTGACAAAACGGCCGCTTTGGAATTCGGACCAATTGGAAACTCTATATGTGAGCCGAACCCAGCAATAGCAGCTACATTGGTTGTTACTAATAATCGGCGTTACCGTAAAGTTGCTTTTTCTTTTCTTATTTCTATCCTTATTGTCTTCATTATTGGATTAATGCTGATTATTGTCTATACTTAGACACAAGCTGACTCTTTCAAACATCTCGCTATTTATTTATTTAGCTTCATTATTGTTACAACTATTGTATGACTGGTTGTACATTGTATATTCTGACCAAATGGTATCGACAAAGGAGGAGAGAGATCAATGGATTCGTTATCTCAACTATTTTTGTTTCGGACTCCATCGGTCGTTGAATAAAATGTGCTGTAATAAAACTTTCGAGAAACGAATAGATATTCTTCGATCATTAGATTACGGTTACGTGATAATTGGATCCTGATCGACCAGAATGATGTTCATGGTTCAATGTTTCAAGTCTTCCTTTACAATCAGACAAATTACGGCAAATATGGTGCTCTAGTTCCATTTACCGTCGACATATTTTTACCACCTCACCTATCTCATGATGAACTACCAAGGATTGCAAAATTTCTTTCGCTGTGAAAGATATGATTGAGTTATGACTTTTGAGCTACCAGATCTGATTTCACTCGTGGTCAACGAGCCGTATCACGTGGCAAATTTCTTGTGTGCATACATTTTTCAATAAAATAAAAGTATCTTGTATAATATTCTCATAAAAAATGCTCAGAGTATCGGAATCGGATCAAGAACCTATAGCGATCCAGAATATTCTATGATGATGGTAAGTCAACCATGAGGTAACGTTTATCAAAATTGTAGCAAGAGATGATTTTCAATGAGTCTCGAAGTAAATGCACAAAGAAAGTATCGATCTGATTCAATCAAACGAGGTCTTTGAAAGGAATTCCTTTAAACTTTCTTTTTCAATGGTGTCTTAGTGAACTTCTATCGTAAAAATGGCCTTGTTTCCTCTACTGAGCAAATTATCTGCTTTCATTCGTGACAGAGATGATTCTTATTAAATGTATATCAGCCAATATTAGTCTCGTTTTTTCCAGACTTCGCCCTAAGTCAATCAAATGTCTTTTCAATCTAATGCAATCGCTTATAGTTTTTTGTCTTGTTTTTTTAGATTAATATTGATAGACAACAATATATTACAATGTAGAAAAAAAAACATCTAATGTGCGTTTCGTCATAGTAGTCGAATTGTTTCATAAAGAAAGAAAATATAGATGAGAATACATTTTGTCAATCATATTGGACTAGATGCGCCACCAATATTATTATTGACCACTATATGATACGATTGGCGTTTGTTCTTCCTTCTAATATTAAAAATATGGAAGAAAGAAAAAAGATCGTTATTGTTTTTTTTTTCTTTCTATAGACTGAGTTTGAAAAGAAAAATTATGGCCTTTGTTTTGTTAAAATGAAGATAATTATTATATTTATTTTGATATTTCAATCAAGAATTATTTACTAGTAAGTAAAATATTTGAGATTGTGTTCAATGAACTCAAAATCTATTTTCTTTTTAAACGATAATCATGCAATTTAAAAAGAAAATATGTTTAACGCTAATTTTTGTTTATTATTGTGGTATTTTTTTTTGGAACTATTGGATATAATTGTCTTCATGTTCGATATTTTTCAAGATCAATGAAGTGACTCTATGTTGCGTAGACATTCTAATAGTGTTTTGTGCCGTATGACTATTCCTCTTATTGATTCATCGCGAAGACTGAAATAGGAAAAATTTCTTCATGTTTCGTGTTTTCCTATGTCACAGTAGTAACAACTGATCCTGGCTCAGTCCGATTAAATATTTTCTATATAGAGTTGAAAACGACAAAGTTTATTGTCTAAGAAATAATTAATCAGCATATATTTCGATTTATGAATTTCTACTCACTGGTAATAGTCATATGTCGATGATGAAACATATTACTAAAAAAGGACTCTGGTTATGACCTAGTCGAGTCTGGTCTGGATTCATAAAAGTATAGGTTAGGCAGCTTTCTAACTTTAACACTTCTTGCAGATTATGTTTTACAAAATAAAAATAATATAATTTTACTTGTTTTTATTTTTGAGATAAAATGATAAGTAAATTCGAAACATTACCAAATGAAATATTGCTTAATATATTTTGTTATTTATCATGGGATAAAATCTTAATATCATTTTGGTTGTTAAATGGACGTATTAATTCGCTTATTTATTCAATATTTTCAAGAGATAAATATGAAATTAGTTTTGATCAATTAGATTTATCGTATAAAAAATTTTCATTATTTTTATTACCATTAATTAGCAATTCTTCATCTCTTTCTTCTTTATTTAAATATATTCATTTTGATGGAACAAATTCAAATTCTTATAATGTTATTTATGAATTTATTTTTTATAATAATAATACACAAAATCTTTGTTTTCCTAATCTTAAATCACTTAAGATAACTCGATGTTTATTGTCTCAATCATTAATTCAAACATTATCTTTACTTATTCGGAATCAATTGGATCAACTTACATTAACATTCGATGAAGAAATGATCGAATTAATTCGAAAACCAGAGAAACCATGGAGAATTGCTCCTCATGCGAGTAATGAATGATTCTTATTTTAGATTATTCATAAGTGAACTAGTTAGATAAAATATTTTCTGTAGATACAAAATTTTTCCAGGTTTTTTTTTTTTACAAAAAAGACTTTTTCATGTTTCATATTTTGATTTCACAATTAATTATTAAAAATTTAAGTTCATTGTTAAAGCTTTTGAAAAAATACCTTAAACCAAAGAAATTCGTTCGCTCGACAAGTGAGTCTAACTTTGTTCTTCTTGAACTCAGGTAGGGCTAGATATGCATAACATGATCTCAATACCGAGACTAGAATTTTTTTTCACTGAGATAGAGACGAACCACTTTTCTAACCAAGTTAAGAAGTGACACCAAAAACTATTGTTTTCGTTCATGTTCTAATTGCATCGTAGAAGTATGTTTATACGAACTCTGTATTAAAAAGAATTTTTCAAAACACTACTGTTCTGAAAATGTGAGGTCACTGGAGTATAGAAAAATTAAAAATTTTCTAGTTGTGAAAATTCTCAATAATAAGTCACGTGATGTTACATTAATGATGAGATACTCTATTATTTACTTTCTTTTTTCTTTGATATAAATTAGGGAAATCAGTAATGATGCTTAAACAGTTGATACGTCAATTTTTTTCTAATAAATCTCAATTAACATATCTTCGACTCGATATTGCTGATGATAATTCTCCTATTAATATTCATCAATGTTTAACACTATCTCCTCATCCCGCTTCAAATTCATTATTTAATAAAACGCAAAATTATTGTTTGACGCTTCGGCATTTATATATTTGTCTTAAATATACGTGTTTTCTTGAACAACTTATTGAGTATATACCCAATATTGAACGATTATCAGTCACTTTCAAACGGCGTATGCATTTTGAACCTCGATCCAAGTCCAATATTGAAACATTAATAAAATCAAATGGAAATTGGTTTGAAAAGGTAAGATAAATTCATTATGATTAGCTCTTCATCTTTGATGAAATCAATAAAAAATTTCGCGATACTCGACTATAATTTCTTTTTTGTCAATGTAAATTCGCCAGTTAATGAGTATTGTCCTGTAATAAAAAAAAGACCTATTATTATTTTCTGGGTCACACTCTATCATAATACGAGCATCATCATGAATATTTCTGGAACGTCGGTTAGAAAATTGGGAGAAAACTAAACTAGAAATTTGTTTTTGACAATCATAAATATTTAGTTTAAATAAGTATGAATTTTGTAAGTATCAAGCTTTGAGAAAATTGGTTTCTAATATGAACAATTTTTTCAAAGAGCAATTTTTGTTTTTCTACTCATTCTAGGTACAAAAAATGAACTATTTTACTTTAAAAGTTTTCGTTAAGAATGATTTGGAATTTGCCTATTTGAAATGGTTGCTTAATAATTTAAATCATATTCGAAAATTTAAACTTCATCTTCAAATTTATAGAATGTATTCATCGTCAGATATAATGATTAAAGAGTATGTTGTTGATGCAAATTTTATTCGTCAATATTGTATGCCGGATATCATAATTAATATAACAGATTTTCAATTTTATATTGTTTCCGAATGTCAATTGTTGTTGAGTAACATTGAACAAATAATAAATTCATTTAAAATTCATCAATTTTTTATTGATCGTCAATGGACAAATGTAACTTGTTTCTATGATCCATTGATGTCATATCAACATCTTTGTTCTTCTACTGTTAATACACTTCAATTTATGAATGGCTTACAGTAACATGAACTATTCTATGAGAACATATGTAGTTTATTTTTTTAATATAATCTTTTCTTGTAGTTTTCATGCAAATATTTTCACTTGGCCACATATTCAGGATATTTCAATTGATTTTCATCCGTCTCTTTATTTGTTTCTTGAACGATTTGATGAAATATATCCTAATGTTTCTCATATTAAAGTTTATACAGGTTAAGATTTTAGTTTTTTTCTAATTTATAAAAAAAAGTAGCTGTTATCACAATCTCTAGCGAATTAAAGTATGTGACACTGTTTCTCGAAGTGGCGATTGTAGAGGGGGAGAGTGCTCCTGTTCGTACTTACAGGGAAATAGTTTTATTCTGTTGATTGCAAGACACATTTCTTTACTTGATATCTCCAGAAGTTCAATGCATAAATAGTTCGTATATAATAACGAGACCTTATTGATATACAGTTTGCAACGCGGTAACGGGAAGGGAAGTGCTACTAAGATGTTTGTGCGAAGCGATTCCTAATTGTTGTCCCTATACCTAAGTACTTTGTTGGATTATGTTAAATAAAAAGAAAAAGATTGGATCAGGATTACCGATTAGGAGAGGGACTCGTTCACCCTTTGCGAAATTTTTACCGTTTCTAGGCGAATAGAATTGTCGGAGGTTCGAAAGATTTTTATGGTTGAAGAGACCGAGTCACAGTCAGTATTCTTTCCTCCTCTAATCAATAATTTTCAAACCATGAATTCATACTCACCCTAAAAAATATAGCCATAAATTTAAGCAAAACGAGAATATATATTAATTGTTTTTCTTTTTATTATATAGAATGTTATAGAGATGTTGATCAATCTGACTTGGCGGTATCATTAAGAATACCATTCAAAATAGGCCAAGATAAAGTCACCGATATTCAACTTCGAAATGTGACAAGAATTGATTTGGGATTTTGTCAAAGTCCTATGATTAGTATGTATCAATCTCTTTTACTTAGATCCATATTATCAAATACACAAATATTAAGTATTTGGCATATATTTGTTCAATGTATGCTTATGAAAGCAATATACATGAATTTTCATAAACAATTCTCCTTCTTTTTCTTTATAATAATGACTGATGCAAAAATTTACCTATGAATATTTCTCCATTAAACACATACGAGAAAAATAAACGAAAAGAAATCGCTAACGTCGCTTCTTTCACATAATATATAATCGTCCTAGAATAAAAGTTCATTTTTAGGATTATGATTTTCCAAACATAGTAGAAAGTTACTTTGCATGCTGAACATGAAATAAATGGTACAAAATATTGAATACATTGATGGACGGTTTACTTTTAGTTTTCTTTTAAATGAATGAAATTCATTGTCATACGAAGAACCCTGTAGAGTAAAACTATCTCATACCCTATACTGTACTCTACAAAATTTTTTGTAGATGTAAACACGAAGTTTTCTTTACTATATTTCAACATGTTTTGTGAGTTTTCAACATTAATCAGATATAAAGTCATCACATATTTAACAATTTTCGTGATAGAATCATTCATGAGTTAACTTGTCGGGATCTCTAAAAGCTTTTTCTCCAATCGTTGCCACTGTTGTATTCTGCAACCGAGTCAGGTGTTGGGTATGAAAAAAAAGTACCGATCCTGGTCCGGATACAAAAAGTCGTACCCGTAAAGATTAATAAATATAGATTTCAGTAATCATGAATAATGACGTTGCGATCAATAATGTAGAGAAAATATTGGCTTTTCCATATAGAACTCGTGGCTTGGTTTGAAAGAAAGTTTTCATCATTGATTACTGAAAAGATAATGTATCATTTCACCAATTGATCCAAATGTGCATTCTTTGGAAAAATTCCAACAAACAATTCGCCATCCTATAATAAATATATTACCTTAAATGAATTGTTTTCTAGAAAGTCGCAATGCATCAATGGACGTAAATAAAACACGTGCAAAAGTATTTGCTCATCTCATTTCCATGCCAGTTCAACTTAAATATCTTCTTGTTGAAAAAATTGAATGGCTTTATCATATTGTTCAATATGTAAGTATCTATTATATTTGTCAACTTACATTGAATTTAAGAAAAAAAAATTTTCTTTGAATCAATGATGAGAACGTAAAAATAAACGAACTTGTTTGCTTTTATCTTCTACATGACATAATGTAATTATGTTTTCAGGTGTCAAAATGAAATAAAAACTTGTTCGAAATGTATATTCAAACGAAAATAATCATTCTATTTCAGTAAAGACTTCCATATATAATGTAAGGAATCGAAAAACTATTCAATACTTTTCATCTTTATATTAATTATTCATTTCATACCATTTTAATATAAATGTCCAATTTATTAAATCAATTAGTCCTAAGATCTTTCTAATTTTCTATTACGTAGTAAGTGTACGTTTTTTTTTCTTTTATTTTTAGGCATCGACTGAATTAAAAACGGACGCATTAAGTTCTGTTCGATGTGCTGAATTTGGTATTTCTAGTTGTCATTATGGTTCTAACGACTCAGTTCATATTGGAAAAAATCTGGTACCTTTTCTCACTACTCATATGCCTCATTTACAAATATTGCATCTTTGGCGACCTGATGATTTTCCTTGGACATCTAGTAAGTGGATTTTGGAGCATAGCTAGATGTGTAAAGTACAAGTATCTCTGGGTCTGCATAGGACTCGACCGACTCTAACTCAGATACTATGTAGTATCTATAGACAACAATGCATTAATATCCAGAGGAGGGATGGGGGCAACTTGGAAGGTTTCCTCGTAAGCTACTTGGTTTTTTAATCTTCAACAAGAAAATATTCAAAAGTCTTCAAATCAGTTTTTGACATTTTTACTTTCGATCAAATTTGAGAAAATCGATTTGTATCGATATGCAATTATCGAACTGGTCGAAATTTTGGGAATTATTTTTGTTCAGTAGTATGAATATAACTCATATGCCTACGTAGAATACAAAAGTCTCTTGCATTGTCGTTGTTCGATTTATTAATTTAATAAATGACACACTTTTAACTCTTCTTTTTTTAGTTTTATTATTATCAGTCATGACTATGATATAATTCACTTACAATAATAAATTCCGATTATTGTTTGTTTTTAGTTCGGCCTGATATTAAACCAGGATACTTTCATTATATTGATGTTTCACGATGGACAGAATCTTTACAAACATCTGAATCGATTGGTACGTAAATAAAAACAATTTATTGAGAAAAAAAAAACACTAATCTTTTTGTTTAGCTCAACATGTAAATGTTTTTGAACAAGATCTTTGTCAATTATTTGATCGCTTGAAACAATTTGTTTTTCTTGATATTCATGGAAAAATCGATCCCGGAAAACTCGAGCCATATCGTACTATGGTTCAAAAATGTTATCCTTGTAGTAGAATTGACATCGAATTATCAAGATTTCGTCTTTGGATATAATTTCCTATATTAAAGATAGGCAACTATTAAACAATTTCTTTTTATTTTGATTATCTTTGTTATATATAGGGTGTGAAATAAAATGTGAATAATGCAAAATTTTTCTATACATGAGAATGTGCATGTGTGTTTATATTCATCTTCGAGTTACACTCATATCCTGTGATACGTTTTCGAAAGAATCATCCTATTCATATGATAAGCAAATGAATGGATTGTTATCTCAAGTTTTCGTCATCAATAGATTCTGTGGATCTTAAAATGCTCTTAAAGTTTCTGTCAAAGTAAACGTTCCCTTCTCTTCGCGGATTAGTATTCTCATCAGCCTTCGTTGCTGATCTATGCATTATTTGACATCTCTCATAGTGATGGGTATAGGAATCGAGAAAATTGATTCCTGCAGACGACTTTAATGTCAGTTCACTTATGCAATCATTTGTAAATCAGAAGTTAGAAATAAGTTACATAGAGAGGGCTCGAAAAATTGAGTTCGACTTACAAAATTCGTAATTTAAATTTTTTTTTCGCTTTTATCTACCAGGTTTATGTTTCTTTAATTAGTGCTTGCCTAACTAATTTTCATTGAATTAGTACTCAGCAGAGTTGGAATCGGTCCGGATTTTTGCCAGTTCATCATTAAAAAATTGTTGCTTGTGTTCAAGAATTTCCTCTCCTGAAAAAAGGTGTTTTAATGATATTTTCACGTCAGAAGAATGTGCTTGCGAAAGACTCGATGAGCTTTGCACCGTTCTTCTAACTGTAACAAGTTCATTGTCCTCTTTATATCTTCATCGATTACTTTCTCGTATACCGCTTAATTTAACCTAGACCATATAATTTGTTTTTGTTATTCTACTTAGACAACTGCCTGAATCCGAAAATTAAATATTTACACTGTTGTGCTAGATTTATTGTAAACTGGCTCTTTTCTTGAAATAAGGATGAAAAAAACATTTGATCTGAGTAGCTAACTTATATAGATATCGGGCTCGAAGAGTCCACGCACCTTGCTATAAAATATGATGGTGATAATTTCATTCCCAATTTTTAGCTTCCAGTTCCGATTAGGGTGGCGATCGCCTGTGAACTTATTTTAAATTTTGACAAATGTAAGTTGATTATTCCTAATTCGGATTTCTGCACATGAATATTCAATTCTCCGTCACCACCATTATATGTGAATAGATAGTTTTATGGTCGGTTATTTTCACCGGATTTTTGCCAGTTTAGGTGTAAAATTCATCCGACCGGATAGAAAAAAGCTGTCCGATTCCAACTCTGATGTCGACAGTCTCTCGAAGGAACTATTGCATTCTTATTGTCGAAAACTAAGAAAACAACTTGTCATTTATCTTCGTTATGTATTTTTGGAGTCGCTGCAATGTGGATTGAAGCATTAAAATTTATAATTGACTCAGAAAAGAGTGTTGATGACTATTCAATAAGAGTTGTTGGTTGGAATTTTTACCTATGGTTATAACATTGATTGTTAGTAATCTGTTTTCTTATTCTATGTTGATTAATTCCAAATGAAATAAGCTACTGACCTTGTTGTTTTGTAGATACGAAAGGCATAACTCTTGTTCATGTATCAAAAACAATTTTCTTTAGATCATAATGGTCGAATATATATAATTCATAACTTGAAAATCACAAATTTCTTAATAGATTTCGAGGTAAGATGATATTAGTCAAAGATGAATTTTCAGTCTTTTTCAGTTGCGTATTATACGAAAATAAGAGAAGTAATGTGCTTAATGCACTATTTTTCATACAACTATGAATTTATCTATTCTTAGAATTTTGTAGATATTGAAATACGTTTTTCAGCTCACAGAAAAAACTCGGCTCTGCTCTAGTAGAAAACATAAACAGCACAAAGGAAAATAGGTATTTGTATGGTATTGCAACAAAACAGTGAAAAGAAATGAATTAATCTTTTCATTTTTTTTAGAGTGCCTACTTTGTGTTCATTTCGATTTGGATGATCTTGTATTCTGCAGAATTATCATTAATGTTGATTTTGATTGCTAACTCGTTGTCAAAAATATTATTTTTACAAAGGTTTTCTGTGATTAAAAATATTGAATCAGGATATTGAGCTTTCTGATACCTTTTTCTTTCACATTCTATTACATCATTAGCGTCATGCAAGCCGGCCAGGTTCGGGTATGAGATCATACTTAGACTTGAGTCAGCAATTAAAGGCAACTCAACATTTCAATATATTCTTAATTTTGCAAACTGTTATTTATGTAACAATACAGGAGTCAAAATCGATTCGATCATGATTGAGTCATGTATTGTACTTGAGAATAAACCCTAGAGGTTAGGAGCGATATTATTTTATTAAAAGAATTCGTTTCTAATGAAAATTCATATACAGATGACGATGAGCAATATGACGAAGCAATTGTATTTTTTGCCTATAACGTTTGAATGTTGGTTGCTCTGGCAGATTTAGGAGAATCAGATACTGTCCATTCTATGTTTTTGCTTTTCTTCAGCAAAAACAACCAAAAAAGAGCCAAAACAAACCAAGCAACAGCAAATTATTTTCTTCGTACAAATAATTGCACAATTTATTAAAGACTTATCTTCTTTTTTTCTCTCGTTCCTCTCAACGCTCAATCACATTATTTGTTGTTGAATACATATTTGACCTTTACATAGAACACAAAATGAATACCTTTCTTTTTATTTGATGAAAAAAAGTTTCAGTCACAAAAAGTAACAGCTTCACTTTCACATTCGACACCGAACAACGAAAACCACGAGAATTTGGGCGTGGACAAAGATTTTTGTGTGGATGTGTAGAAAAAGAACATATCTACACTGTGATGTTATCATCGTAAAAGTGGAAAAGTGACTTGACTTGCTTGGTAAAGACGGTCGATATTTTCTTGATGGTTTGTCTTTTGACATTAAAAGCGTTTTTTTATTATTGATTCATCATTCTTTTACAGTTAACTATCATGTTTTACAAGATACTTTTAAAAGTTATTCATCGAACATCAAATTTCAAAATAGTGCTCCATTCATTGGAGTTTTGGAAATTTTATACAAACATTTATTTTCGATTATGTCAACTTCAACAAATTATTATCTGGTAATACAGGTTCAACACTATATTTTATAACGTAACCATTCATATGATGCACGTGAACATGAATCATAATGATACAAAGCACATAGTTCTTCAATAATTAACTAACTGTTTTTTTTTGTCATAGATTTTTTTGCATCTAAAGGAATGAACTTGTATTTGCTTCTATTTTCTCTTGATAAACTAGTAGACTTTTCAGAGTATAAGATAAACATGGTAGCAATCCAATTTTTAATGGAAACTTCGATAAAGCAGCTATCGCTGCTACTGAGATGAAATATAACAACGTTTTATGAAATGCTCTCATTAATGCCATGACGATTACAAAAGAAAAATATTATACACAATTAAAAAAAACATTGCTTTACTTGAATTTACATCACTTGATTCCTGTACTAAATATTTCTCAACTTTCTTGAATATTGATAGTGATTGCAATATTGAATCTACAAAGTAACATGTAGTCAGAAATATTCCGTGGAAATGTGCGTGTCGGTGTGTGAATGTAGTTGTACTGAAAACTGATACCTACATTGCATCCACGCCCTGTTCAATAATTGTCTGACTGGGAATGATAATGCTATACTTAGCTCTCTCATGTCATTTAAAACTGATAAATTTGACAATCATATTCTTTTTTCCAAAGTTGCTGTTCACGGTATTGCTTATATAGGGTTGTCTGATTGTTTTTCAAATTGATTAAAAAAAGAATTTAATTTTGCAGCTGGATAAATGGCGTTAATCGATAATAATTGGATTATTACATTTGATTGTGATGTCCCCTTGAATAAATACGTATTGCGATTGACAGAATTTCTGGGAATAGTTGAAAAAAACAGTATACCCTTCGGTTAGACAAGCTGCAAGTGAAAACTAATATGAAGATTGTAGCATAATAGAACGAAATATGTCGATTACTTTTCGATGAGAATTTCTTCGATAATATCAAACGAATTTGTAACCGAATATCTATTTCTGATAGTACCATTCTCGACTTCTAGGATAATAGTACATATTAGCTCCAACATGATTCTTGTTCTCTGCTTTTCATCAACATGAGATAATCCAGTTTTCGGTCACATTATCAAACGTTTATGAACGATTCTCTTCTATTGTTCAAAGCCGAATCTACTCAATTGATGCCGTCAATATCAATGTGTATATTTTGTTTGACTATAAGTATTACTAAAGATGCTCTTTAAAATCTATTATTTTTAAATAATTGAGAATATATCCTATTTAACATGTTAAACATGTCAACAAACAGTTTCACTAATCGAAAGATATGAAATATACAGTGGGTTATATCAGTTAAACATGACACTCAGAAACAAGAGAATGATTATCGTGCTTTCAAAGAAATGTTTTTCATTTGAAGTTAAAATAAAAGATATGAAACTTCATTTTTCTTTCAAATAAGGTTTTGAGAAGAAACGATAAAGTTTTCATGATCAAAAAGCCAAACGAAAAAAACAAAGCCAAACTGAAAATCAAAATAGCTAGAGAAGAGAAAAGCGTGAAAGACTAGAAACTTTATATGAACGATAGGAAAAAAAACTTGAATGAGTACTACACTTTTTTATTCGGATAGAACTGATAAATTTGTGAAATTAAACTTAAAAAAAAACAGAAATAGCATGAAGTTCTTAATGCCACATGAATTTCATAAGATGTGTTGCCATAAACGAGCGATGAATATTCACTGTTTACTTCTGTTTTCGCTTTTTTCTTCTTCAGTTGTTCTGATTTTTCAATTCGTCTTGGGTTTTCTGTTGTTTTTGCTGCAATCGTTTAAGTTTGTATATTACAAATTGATTCACCGTTGTTCCAAACTTTTGTATTGTCATAGTAATATTGGGGATTTGAAAATCAGATACCGTTACAGGGATTAATGCATTGAATACTTGTGCTGTCGTTTGCACAGTCTTGCATGATTGGATCGAGACAAAAACTTGATCCAAATGGCTACTTTCCGATTGAACAGATAAGAGACTTTAGATTACCTAAAAACAGGAGAAGCAGACATCTTACAGTGATCATTTTGCGTGAAGCCTGATCAAGTATTGATGGACTTGTTTTAGTTTCAAAAAGATAAAATATATGTGTCTGGCTCTCATTCATAGCTCCTTCATCCTGACTTAATATTACTGCTTTGTTTGCTGTAACCACGCTGCGGGTTGTTGTTAAGATAAAATTTATGTATAAGCTATTATCCTTTTTTCATTCCTGTCTTTGCTTCTCTGCATTGAAGTGTCAAACCGTAAGTGTATTGGAAATTTAAAATAAATAAAAAGCTATTTTGATTTCAACATTTGAAAAAGCAGTTAAGTGGATAAGTGTTTGACTAAATTTTCAGCAGAATGAAAAAAACCACTGACTCGGAAGCAAATTCTAAAGAGAACTGTATTAAGCGAAAAAGGACGATGTTTTCATTTACTGGGAAACAAAATTGCTGGTAGTTGAGAAGCTTTTCACGACGAAAAAAGTCTAGAAACTTATTCTCGGCTAGTGGTTTTGGATCCGTCTTCAGAAGTGTGGGCGTGAGTGTGGATAGATGTAGTGTAGGTGTGAGTGTAAGTGTGAGTGTAAGTGTGCGTGCGGATATCGTTCTCTTCAAGGACACTCCACACACACGCCACAGTCAAACTTACGATCACATACTCCCAAGCTGATCAATGACGTTCATTCTTTTCATCTCATTTTCGATTTCAATGATTGTTTCTATATTGAAAAAATAATCGGTTTTTCACTAAGTATTAGAAGAAATGAAGAGTTTCTCTTTTCAAATTCAATGAATTTGTCTTCCTAAAAGAAAAACAGCGTTAAAAGAAGAAAATTGGACATAATGTTGATCTTTTTCTTTCTGCAAAGGTGACGAATGAAAAGTAATAATTGCTTCACTGAAGTTCATTGATAAAAGTCGAAGCAACGATTGCAATGGAATCGTTTTTGTTTTGTTGTTCTTGCCTTCGATTGTCGTTGTTGTTGCTGTTTTTCTCTGTCATGTGTAATCGCATTCTTTCTCTTTTTCTCTCATTCCAAACAAAGCGCAGTTTGCGACATGTTAGATTTTAGAAGTCATGTGTTTAACGAATACAACTATTACACTTACTACCATGCAGAAATATACGATGATTTATTGTCGTGGCTTGCTACGATTCCTCTCTCGCGACCGGTGTGGGATCTAGGGGAAGATTTTGCTGATGGCATTCTAACTGCTGATATTATCTATCATTTCTTTCCTCAATTAATCGATTTGGATACAATTCATGCGCCTCGAAATATGGCACAACGTACAGCTAATTGGCATCATTTGAGCACCAATGTGTTGCCGAAGTTAGGCTTGCATGTACCAAACATGATCATGGTTGACATTACCAATGGAGCTCGTCGTGCTGTCGAACTGTTTCTTCTTCAGTTACGAAAAACACTTCAAGAATATACGATTCGTATTCAGCAAACATTATACGAACAAGGAGAGACAGGACGTTCATACAATGTTGGACATCATCGTTTGCCACAAGTTCCAACGACAGCAAGGCAAACTGCCTCTCTGCCTGCTATTACAGGTGCCATTCCACCTGGTAGTACAGGTACCAATCTATCTGTTATTACAGGTGCCAATTCGTCTGGTATCACAGGTGCTAACCGTAATATCGATTCTCTGGCCCCCTGTAGGGAAGCATTACGACTCAAAGATGAAGAACTCGGTGAGCTTCGAAAAAAAGTGAAAACATATGAAAAGCTACTTCGAGAAAAGGTGAAAACGTATGAAAAATTGCTTCGTACTAAAGATAATCGAATTCAAGAATTGGAAATGCGACTTGGAAAAGCGAAGATTAAATGACCGTAGCTATAATTAATCAGACAAAAAAAAAGACGTTGAATTTCACAATCAATTAATCATTGATCTGTATTCTCATATAAAATGGAATTTTTTTAACAAAGCAACATAGAGAGAGAATTTTGTATAGTCATGGATTTTACTGTTCATGCTTTAGCTTCTCAATTCTGAGCGATTGTAGAAACAAGATCGATCTAGAGTCTAGACTCTGGCAGAGATGTAGTTCTTTTGGAAAAAAACGTGTTGATATAATAGATGAAGGTTTACAAGAGAAAAAAAGCGAACATGACTTCATTCTGTTTCACTACAAAGTATGATTGAATAGCCCATAAAAAACACGATATAATGGTATATTTATATTTAAGCTTAATGCATTCTTCCTAGGAAATAACAGAATGCAAATGCTATCATGACAAGGTTCGAAACATATTGGAGATGACTTCTCTTTGTTTTAATCAATTTATTTCCTACAGAATAGTTCAAAACAACAGAATGCATATTTCTCAATATGATCAATAAATTCAATAAAATTTTCGTAATTTTTTAAATTGAATTAAAAGTTTCCTTTTTTACTAGGTTCAATATTTTTTGAGAATTTTTATTGGTTTCTATCTATGTTCCAAAACATTCTACCAAAGAAGATTTGAACACACCGTTGAACTCTTTATGTCATATGAACTTGTGTATTTTCATCCTACATTCATTAACCTTTGCTAAAGTTGAATCGCAAGCTAACCTAGGATTCAGATATGTTGGTTATTGGCAATTTTTAGTCAAGTTTTGTTTTTATAACAAAAAGAAAGAAAAGCTACCAATCTAAATATCAAGATTTGTTTTTTAAAACTATAATGCAATGTTTACGTTGTTCAAATACAGGTGTTTCATTATTCGATGTACCGACAATTTTTGATTGGCTGCCCCAAGATGTATATACTTTAGATGAGTTTCATAAATATCCATTACTTAAATGAAACAACAGTAAATCAACGAAGTTTACACTTCTCGCTACTGTTGTTGTAGTAAATAGGCTCCAGGGTTTTATATGACTCTTCTGAGTATGCTGCTTTCATATACCGATGGTTCTTGGAGTGATTGATTATATTTAATCAGTTCTTCAGGGAACATCCACACTCAAATCAATAACTCGCTTCTTTTTTGCAAGATGCTAAACATTTGAACGTAATATTGTGATTTTGTATGGTACGAGACAAGTATTGAACACAGACATTGCTTATTTGATTTATGTCTAACCAAAGAACGATCTATGTCGTATTTGTTTTAAGCGAATCCGTCAAACGTTCAGCATCAAAATCATCGATCCCCTTGTCTTGTAAACTGAGGATTTTCAAGTCGTTCTTATTGGTTGCGAGCGATTTCGCAAGGTATTTTACTCTGTTAGCCAATAGATGATTGCTGTAAAGATTCCGAATCAACGAAAGATCGATTTATTAATTGCAACGAGACCTTTCGAATAATGCGTATGAAAATGAGAACGATCAAAGACAATGTTCTCAACATCCAGAGAGAGCGTCTGGAAACGAGTGGTCCCTATTGCTTCACTTCGATTGCTTAGAAATAATCGTGTTAGTCAGTCACATGTTAAAAAGTCTTCGCTTCGATTATTTGCCTTTCTATATGAGATTTCTTTTTCTCTAACTGATATGTATATCGTTGAAAATGATACAAAGGTGTTTTGAATGAATATCTTATATGATTGAAACAGTTCACCATCTAAGCGATAGTTGTTTCACTACTTTAACAGTCATGTTCAAATTTTGAACTAGAAACCTAATTTGAATCATTTGTTTGTAGGATTAAAAAAACGAGTTATTCATTTACATGAAAGAAACAATTTGACTTTTAGAAAATTTCTGTAGCTGATCTTCCTCGATTATCCATTCTTAGTAATAAGCGATCATCGATTGAAATTTGATTTTGAAAATTCAGATCAAATTTCTTTTCTTTGACTAGAAAAAAAATTATCGATTGTCGCATCCGAATTGAGATTACAAAAATGCATTTGGATGTGCATTTGTACTATTCTATTATCGAGACTTACCATCTTGAATTTGTTGATTCAAAGAGATATTTTTGCAAAGTGCACTAACTCGAAAAGGACGCTATTTATGATATCTTGATAAACAAGATTCATCATTTCATCAACAGGTAAATTTTGCTGATTAATGTCTTCAAGAAGATGAGCTATGAAAATCGTGTTTCGATCATTTGTTGTCTTCTATGATATGGTCTTGTTTGCGTCATAAGCAAAACTAATCAATGAACCATTAAATGGTTCCATGCTAAGAATGCCACCGAAATCGATCGAACCTTTTAATCTGACAACGTGTCACATGGGTGTGATGGTGAGTGTGTGGATACTTTGCATGGATACGGATGAAATAAAGACGCACACTCATCTGACACACGCACTCACACCCTTAATTGGACTAAATTTAATTTATAAGAAATCAAACAAACTGAATATTTCGCTTTCTCGTAAACAAACACAACAGCTTCTACAACCTGCTGTATGTAATGTATCATTTCGGGTTATGAAAAAAGTATACATCCAAAAGGATGGAGTCGCAATGAGAAATCCATTTGCTCCTATACTACCAGATTTATTCATGATCAAAATGGAAGAAAAATTAAATAGATTCCCACGGAGCAAACCTAAAATATGATTGAGATACGTCAATGACGTATTTTGCATATTTAACATTTACAAGAAACATTTAGATGAATTCCTAGTGCGAATAAATCATCGGCGTCACAATTTAAAGTTCACCGCTACAAAAAGTATAAAGTAGGTGTGACTAAAACAGTAACTATTAGAATCTAACGTATATGTTCAAATGAAACAATAGCCAAAAAAGAGAAAAATAAACTATGAGAAATATTAAAAAACAATGGGTATTCAAATCATATTGTTCGACAAGGATTTAAAGCCGGTGAAATGATCACAAAGCGATTACAATAACCACAACAAAAAGTAAAAATCGTTGAAAAAGAAAAGATATTTTTCCCTATCCCTTATTTTGATGAAGCATCAGTAACGTTTTTCTAATCGATTGCGTAAGATTAAAAACAAAGAACACTAAAAAAAAATTTCTTACCGATGCACAAAGATCACGACAGATCAAAACATAAAGAACAAACTAATTTATCATATATATCATGTCAAAACTGCGAAGAAGTATACATTGCTGAAACTAGACGACAACGAGAAAAAGCATCTCAGAACATCTAAATGCGAGTGTGTGGGTCTGGGTGAATAGAAGACCCACACTCTTTCTCATGAAGAAAAAATGTATCCAATGTGAACTTTAAACATATGTTATTAACACCAATAACAACAAATATTGAAAGAAATGCATTTATCGAATGATTGAATAATGAAGAATAAATATTGACAGTTACTCGTCAGCTCACTGTTTTGGTGAAGAAAGTTAAATTATTCAAAATTACATTAAGATTAATGGACTTATTATTATCATCTTGGTATAGCAGAAGGCATTTGACATAGAAGAGTATCGAAAACTATGTCTCAAATCAATTCAATGTGCTATACCTATGGCCGATCGAAAGCAATCACCGAACAACGTCGACAAAAATATCAAAAACAAGTTGAAAAATTCGAAATGAACTTCATGAATATATGAAACAAGTTCCTAATCATGTCGATACAAATTAACACATGACAATGATTACTAATTTTGTACATCAGGATCAATATCAACTACGTATTGAAATGGAAAGATCAAGAAAAATGCTCAAATTTGATGCACAAAATGAGTGATTGACCCAAACATTTTACAAATTACAACCACGACAAACGGAAGTAAGTCATGCCATCTTCATTTGATATCCTTGCTTCAGTCTGAAACCCAAATGTTTAAAACGTAGTTGCCTTTAAGATCGTCCTTAATCTCATATACTTATGCTAATCTAGCATTGACGAATATCAATGAGATGTTGACATAATAATCATAATTAACATCATGGATGGACTAAATCCGACACAAATCTTGACAAATCATTTAATGGCCCAAAGTTTTTCAGATCAACACTAACAACCATACAATCACAGAAACAATAAGTAATCAACAAAATTGAAATACCGAATATTGTGGCAGCTACACACACTCACACCTGCTCTCCCACACCATCTCTTTTTGTATGTAATTTTTAACCTTTTTTTCTTTTGCCCTTTCTGTAGTACCACAGTGTTCTGTCTAAAACCTATTCCTTCAGAATCGTCTTCTCTCTCCAGTCCGTTTTTTTATCTGTTAGGCATCAAGGTAAGGTCTTTACAAAAGAGAAAAAAAGTTGAATCATGCGTCTGCTATCATTTCTTATCTCTTTGCTGTCCGTTTGCATGCATGTTCGTCATTTTGTCTTGCTCTCGTTTGTATGCCGACACAAATGAAATGCATTCTTTCGATGATTGCCTCCGTGAAGATGACAATGTGAGCTGTATGTCTGACAAGTTTTAGCTAGCAATTTTCCTAATTAGCCACCATTTGAAATTTTGAAACTGCATCCGCTTGACGAGAGGAAGTTGTTTTGTTCTTTTGTTTTATTGAGAATTGGTTCTATCAAAAAGCAAAAAATATTTTTAGAAACCTGTATTTATAAGTGGTAGTGTCACAACAAGGAGTTCGTTCATGCCATCGATTGTAGCATTTTTCTCTTATTTATGGATTCGTATACAAGTGACTCTGTTTCGTCTGATCTCGTTGATTCGTTTTTACTATGTACAACACAAACGCAGAGGTTTCTTACCCAAACCATCGCTCATTGAACACATTCGTATCGACGACCACTCGATTCGCTCACTGATCTATCTACCTCCAAACTACTCCACCAACACAGCGCCATATCCTTTTCATATCGATTTTCATGGAGGTATTGTTTTTCTCTATTCAATTTCAACATCATCCGATCTGTTTTAAATAGGTGGATTTATCTTTGGTCGACCAGAAGATGATGCCGAATTCTGC